GGGCCGGCCGAGTGGCGCGATGGTTAAGAACTGGCTTGGGATGCCAGAGGGCCCCGGTTCGGATCCCACATATGAGGGCCCGTGAGTCGCCGGCGATGGCGTAGGCTACAGCCCCTGTGGCAGTGGGTTGCCATGGGCTACCGTGTGTAGCCAGCAGCCAGCGTGAGTGGCCAGCCACAGTGAGCAGCATCCAGAAGCCAGCAACTGATCTGCCTCGCCCGGGAAGAGCGCAATGATGGTGCCAACTTGGGCCGGTGGGGCGACGTCCTCCACAACTAGACTGAAGAACAAAAAACAACAGCAACTTGTCTGTTCCCCTTCCCCCAATTCCCCAATAAAAATCTTAAAAAAAAAAAAAAAAAGTTGTAATCTTGCTCAGACTTCTGAGAGAGTATCATAATACAAACCATTGGTTACTAAAATCATTCATCCTGGATTTTTTCTTCAGTGCCTTGGGAAGAATAACCTGCCTCAAACCAGCCTGTCAAACTCAATGAATTAAACTGTATCTAAAGGTGGCAAATCACTGCAGTTATTGTCTCTACTAGCAAGACATTTATCTTTCTCTGAAGATTCCAGTCTTTCATATCTTTGCACATGCTGTTCCTTCTTCTCAGAAGCCCTTCCTCACAGTACTTGCCTGCCGGTCAGTCTCCAATTTATCCTCCATGATCGAGTTCAAACCTGACTTCTCTTCATCTGGATGTACCACCACCAGAATTTATCAATTTACTACTCCTTCCTTTAACTCTCACTGTGAAACAGGGCCCGGTTGGGACCCCCATAGTAGAGGCCTCTCCACGTCCCTGGCCTCACCTTTCCTTGACCTACCTATAGCTCAACAATTGATCATCCCCCTGCGGTTTAAGCTCCGAATGTCCCCTTGTCCCACCCAGTTCCCTGTTTTAGAGAATTACCCTGAAACTTATGATTAATACCCTTAGGCTTATTGATCAGTCTCAATAGTACCAGGGTGATCCTATCTTTGTTCCTGGGTTGCCTCTGAAGGAACACCCAGATTTTCCCTTAAAAACCCCAACCTGGTCTGAGAATGCAAGGCAGTTTTTGGAGGTGTTAACCCGCAGCCTTCTCAGACCACCAATGCTGTGATAATAAACGCTTATTCTAGAGCCCAACTTCTGTGTCAGTCTATTGGCTGAGCGGCACAGGCAGCATGAGCCCTGGATTCGTTTGTCCTCTGGTTTCAACTATACTTTGGATATTTTTCTGTTATAGCACCTATCACATGATAGCACCATTATTTTTGAATGTCAATCTTCTCTACTAAACCTGAGCTTTTTGAGGGAAAGGCCTGGCCCTTATTTTCCTGGAACCTAGCAGAATGGCTACGGAGCAGGCCCTCAAATGTTTGCCAAATGAACAGCAAATGCTGATGACAAGCTAAATGGCATATGGGTTTGGGGAGCTCAAATTTGGTTCCCATTTATTGCACCACAAATCTGGGACCACTTAAAGATCATTTTTGGGGCAGTCTGGTGGTTCTTCACTATCTTTTGTGTAGGTCCTTATAAAATAACCTTATTGATATTCTTAACCTCCAGTCTCTTTTCATTCCAATCCATCCTAACTTTTTACAAAACACCACCTTCATCATGTCATTCCCTTGGGCAAAATGCATTATGATTTTCTCATACCTTTCAAATCAAATCCAAATCTCTAATCTTCACACCTGAAGCCCCCAAGCAAATCTAATCTCCACATGAGGCCCCCAAGGGTCTGCCTCACTTTAGTATTCCAAACAATCTCTCAATCATTTTAGAATGTAAACTATAGTAGGCAGAGATGGAATCTTTATCTGTCTAACCTCTGATTTATCCCAAGCAACAAGAACAATGCCTGGTCTGGGGGAGAGGCACAATAATTGTGGAATTAGTGAATAAAAGAACACAAAATATAAAGCAACTTTCTTTCTAGGAAATTATTTTGAGAGGAAAAATATTATCTTATATTCAAGTATATAAGATACTTACTCATTTACTACTTAATACTTAGAGTACCTCTTGTGCTCAGGAATATGCTAGGGATTAGAAATACTTTGAGCTTAGAATCAAACGGGGAACAGAGTCATTAAAGGTATAATGCCACAGTTAATTAATTATGGTCATTTTAAGTACTATGAAGGGTAAGTATAACTAGTTGCAAGATGAGTAACAGAGGAATCTAATGAAGTTATGTGAGGCTTAAATGACTTGCTACACGTAAAACACTAAAAACAATGGTGGCACACAGTACCTGTTCAATAAATGCTAGCTGTTACTACCATTTCAGCTGGAACCTGAAAGACAAGCTAGGAAGAAGGGAAGGAGAGAAGAAACTCCAAGCAAAGAACAGTATGTGCAAAAGCCCAGGGGCAGAAAGTTGCTTGGCCTATAGAACTGAAAGGCCAATATTTCTTAGCATAGAAAGCTAAGGGGAAAGAGATACCATGAGATATGAGATGAGTCTGGGAGTGACAAGCTTAGATGTGCAATTTTAAAAGCTTTCTCTGCGGCCGTCCGAGTGGTGCATTGGTTGAGTTGGCTTGGATGCCAGAGGGCCCCGGTTCGGATCCCACATATGAGGGCCAGTGACACTGCCCTCTGCAGCTAAGATAGTGAACAGCAGCTCGACCTGGGGTTGGGCTGCCGCGGGTCACCAGCAACGGCGTAGGCTGCAGTCCCTGCTGCCGTGGGCTGCCATGACCTACCATGTGTAGCTGGCAGCCAGCGTGAGCGGCCAGCAGCCAGCGTGAGCGGCCAGCAGCCACCGTGAGCGGCCATCCAGAGGCCGGCGACTGATCTGCCTCACCCGGAAGAGCGCAATGATAATACTAACATGGGCCAGTGAAGCAACGTCCTCCACAACTAGACTGAAGAGCAAAACAAGCAACAACTTGTCTGTTCCCCTTCCCCTGATTCCCCAGCGCTGTTCCCATCCCCCAATTCCCCAATAAAATCTTTAAAAAAAATAAAAGCTTTCTCTGGCTACAGCATGGAGAACTGGTTACAGAAAGGTCAAAATAGATAACAGGGAAAACAGTACGGAAGCTACTCCAGTAGTTTAGATCAGAGGCTTGTAGCTTAGACGAGAGTACTGGCACAGAAGAGAGAAGGAAACTGGATGTTTGAAGAAATAGAAGGCAGAGCCAACAAGACTTTGCGTATATTGGGGGGAGGGGCACTAATCAATAATAAATACTTGAATTCCTGTATTCCTGCCATATGCAATGTCTCTCCTCCATCCTTCCAGGCACAGTTGCTTCTCATCTCTTCCACAAAACTCTGATTGACCTTGTCCCTTCTTTCCCAGAGTGCTCTAGAATTTTGGAACTGAACATTCTTGAGAGCTATACAGTAGCTGAAATTGCCTTAGAAATTGCCTGAAGACAGAGATCACTTTTTAGTTAACTTTGTATCCCGCCCACCCCGTCTACCTAACACTTGTAGAGAGCCACCCACTTCTAGAACTTTTCCTCTGACTGCATGAATGGTACAATCATAAACAGCCTATGCTAATTAAAAACGCTGTGACCCATAAAGTGTTATAGGAGATGTGGGAGCTTTCACAACCACTTTCTTCTTGGAGCTTCACAAAACTCTTATAAAATTAGGTACTATTATAAAGGAAATAAGCTCAAGATCTTAAAGTGACATGTCCAAGGTCACACATACATTAAAGGAAGTGGCAGTGCTAAGACAAGATCTCCTAGCTCCAAATGAGATGCTCTATTACCTTCCATGAAAGATAAATATTCCTATGTACTCAAGAAGACTGTGAACTCTTGGAGGAAGCTACGTGCCACTTCTGGGACTCCTTTCCAGTTTGTTATTAATTAATTTATTCAAAATGTTTATCGGGCACCTCCTACGGCCCAGGCATGGCACCTAGTGTTGGCAGTAGGGTACAGCAGCGAACAAGGCAAGGCGCTTGCCCTCAGTCTAGCTCAGGGACCCGGCCAGACAAGAAAACAAATGTATAAACGATGTAAGTTTTAAGTGCTATAAAGAAAATACAAAGGGTGATAGGAGAAAATGGGTGTCCTTTCGTCAGAGAAAGCCTCTCAGAAAAGTGACATTTAAGTTGAGACCCGAGCTTGGTCTTGAGGAGGCGCTTAACGAAAAACATTTTACCACAAACCTGATTTGGGAAACAATGACAAAAGTAGAAAGCGGACTTAGTTCGCACAGGGGCCACTCCTAAGCCGCCAAGCTTCGCCGCCAGACCGTGACTGGCAATGGACAGCTCCCGGCCTAGTCAGACCATCACCACCAGAGGGCGTCGCGGGTCTTCCCAGTCCCCAGGAGGAGCCGCGGCCCCAGGCACTGCCAAATTGACATCTGGCACCTACCGCATCAAGGCCCCGAAGCCCGGGGTACGGACAGAGGGCAAGGGCGCCTCTAGGGAATCGCAAGAGGTCACTAGGCCCTCAAAAAGAGGACGTCCTCAATATCACGAACCATACCACTGTCACAAGCCCTGGCTCCCTCGGGGACAAGCCCACTTCCGGCACTTTACACCAGGAAGTACTGTCTGCGTCCAATCCTAGTCCTTCTTCCAAACTTTGTCTTTAGCGTTCGTTCCGCGCCGGGTTAGCGCGAGGCAGGAGGTCTATGGTTACCAATCAGCTCTCAGGAAAGGCGCATGCGTTGTCGAAAGAACGCGACGTACGATGAATGTTGACCTGAAGAGGATCCTTACTCTTCTGCCCCTCCCTCGCTGAGAAGATGGCGCTCTCCAGGGTGTGCTGGGCTCGGACTGCTCTGTGGGGTTCGGCGGCCACCCCTGGACCTTATGTCACCCGGAGGCTGCAGCTTGTTCGTTCTGGACTCGCCTGGGGGGGCCCTCGGTGAGGGATCCAGAGAGAGAAAAGCGTTTTTGACGTTCAGTCTCTTCCACTGTTTCATCCTTGCTTGCGTGCTCTCTCTTAATTGTCAGGGTTCCATGCCCTGGCGTTGGGATTTGTATTTTTCTGCTCAGAAGTCGCACCCCAATCCCCGCTAGTGACCTGGCTTCCTGACCCCCTCAACTCTGAGTGCCCCATATAGTCTGAATTCCTCTCGTGTCCTGAGTTCATCTTTCAGCCTTCCTTTTTCGTCTCAGGTTTTACCTCTGTTTACCTCGATCCCACCTGTAGCTTTATCCTGCCGCTCTGGCCTCAGGCTGCAGACTCCATACTACTTACTCTCCGACACCCCTTCCTTCTTGGCCTCTCATCTGTGTGATTTGTGTTTCTCTGATGCTTATCTCTTGATCCCAAGATCTTCCTTGGATTTCGAAGGTTTCAGATCTTAGCATACATTCTCTGAGGACTGTGTTTTACATTAGGGACGCCAGATGTGAAGGGGCTTCTAGGATTGATTCCCAGATAGTCTCTGATCTTCCTTGTAGGTCTTCAAACCTTCACCTTTCTCCAAAGGCAGATGTGAAGAGCTTACTCTCTTACGTGGTGACCAAGACAAAAGCGATTAATGGGAAATATCATCGTTTTTTGAGTCGTCATTTCCCCCGCTTCTATATCCTGTACACAACCTTCATGAAAGGTAAAGACAAAACTGAAATTGAAATCACTAGAATCAGCTCTTGGGCAATGTCAGAGAGTTAGAATAAGTAAGATAATTTGCAGGTTTTGCTATGGGAGTGTGAGCTGGGATGTTTTATGTTTCACAAATGCTTGAGCATTAAACTAATTCTTATAATCTAGCATTTCTTGAGGATGTTCCTAGAAAGGTATTATGAGAAACAACTTCTCATAACACCCAGGGCAAATATAGGTACTTCTGCACTTTTCTGAACCACACACCTGACTATAGTAGAAATTCTTGGTGCACAGACCTGCCCTGTGATTTATCAGTTTCCTTGGCTCATAAGAAAATGTTTAAAAAAAGAAAAGAAAATGTTTAATGCTTGTCACAAATCTTAGGTAGCATGTTGTAATAATAGCACTACAATACTTGGTTTCTGAATGTTTCGGTTCAAATCAGAGCTCTGCTAGTTAGTAGGCGATGGTATAGTGTCAGGTGTCCACTCTGGAGCCAGACTGCCTGGGTTTAAATCCCAGCTTGTCACTGGCTGTGTGATTAGACTACTTAACCTCTCTGTCCCTTGGTTTTCTTATCTGTAAATTGGGAATATCAATGGAACCTACCTATTAACCACATGGTTGTGAAAATTGAATAAATATGAAATAAATGAAATAAATAAATGAAAATACATTTAAAGTATTTAAGGCCTGATTCATAGTAACTGCTCAATAAATGTAGCTATAACTATTATTACACTCTATACTTTTATCATAATTCCAATTACAGTAAACTACCACATTGTCAGCTTTGGAAATTATCATAATTATTACTAGCTTCATGGACTTGCAAAATTGCTTCTCTTTATTTGTAAAATGGACATAAGAATGCCTGCTTTGGCTGTTCCCAGGTTTATAACTAGGATCAAATCAGAAAAGGGTCTGAAAGCATTTTGCTTGGTTTTTTTTTAAGCCTTTTATAATGGAAAAATTTAAACATACACAAAAGTAGAGAAAAATAATATTATGAACTTCCATGTACTCAACCTTACTTCAGCATTTAACTCATGACCTTCAATCTAATTTCATTTATATACATGCCTTCTCCTGTATTATTTTGAAGCCAACATAGACATACCATTTCATTCATAATTAGGAAAGCATTAGATAAATGTAAGAATTATCATAGAATGAAGAGAAAAATACAATCATCGAAATATATTGAATTACAGTAATTATAAAAGTGTTCTAGAAAGGAGATCAGTTACTATCTGGTTGGGGAATACATAGAGTTAATTGAACAAGACTTCCTGAGGTTAGAGATCTTTGTATTTTTATTTTAAAAAGGGAATGAGTAATGGACCAGAAGAGGGAGACCATTCCACAATAGATCACAGAGGGCCCACTTGGCTAGAAGAGAAGTGCTGTGCTGGGGGAAAAAGGATGAGAAAAGAGATATAGGTTGGCGTCACAAGAGTTTCAAATGGCCTAGTTGGAAGCTTTGATTTAGAGTAGGGTTGGGGAGGGACAAGTATATGTGTTGTGGGTAAACATGGAGTAGGAAGCTGTGGTAACATTCAAACTGGGGTAACATCACACTCTGTCCTCTACTTTAATGAGGCAGGATTGCAGATGTTATGGGCTGATGCCAAAAAGGCTAGAAGAATAAAGGCAAATATGTGGAAGCACAATATAAAGTTTCATCAACTTTCATACCGGGAGATGGAGCATTTGAGACAGGTATGGGCTGGGGACAGATATCCAGAAATTCATGGTGAAGTGATTAATGTTAACCAGAATCTCAACTTTTTTTCTTTCCTATCTTGTTCACCACCAATCAAGCTTTTGCCCTTCGCCATGAGATCTGAGAGCATCAGTTTATTTATCAGAATTGGGTTCTTTCAGAGTTGTAGCCCTCCATAGCAGAGCTCTGTAGAGTTTGTGGCACGCCTTCTGAATAAAATTTGTAAGCACTAAAATCCAGTTTGTTACTGAACATATAAAAACCTGCAAGGATCCAAAAGGCAGCAGGAAAGCAGTATTTGGTGGTGAACTGACAGATCCTTTTGAAACAGAGTAAGAATCTAGGACCCACTCTGCAGATCAGAAAAAAATTCAGCGAGGGATTTGGTATAATGTTATGCCCTGTACTCGATGTTATTTGGGATACAAAAGTGAACAAATTAAAGCCTTCAAGGAACTTACCAACTAGAGGTAGATAGAAATAACCTCGATCCTTTGCTGGGCTATAATAGAAGTTGACTGCATGGTGGGGCGGAGGGATTGTCCATTGTATTAAGAACTTACTTGGGTTAAAACTGCATCTTGTCTTTTTCTGCTTAGTTCCGTCGAAACATCACCAAGTGTGTTTTCCTAGGTATTATTTCCATTCCACCCTTTGCCAACTACCTGGTCTTCTTGCTAATGTAAGTATATACTTCTGTTTCCCCAGTGTATTGAAGCTATATAGATTTTTTTTTTATTACAGATAATTTTAAGAAGAACTTTGCATTTCAGAAGCTAGGCAGATGTTAACAAATTTCCTGTTCCAATTTTTTCTTTTCTTTTTTTTTAAAGACTTTATTGGGGAGTTGGGGGAGGGGAACAGCGTTGGGGAATCAGGGAAGGGGAACAGACAAGTTGCTGTCCTTTTGTTCTTCAGTCTAGTTGTGGAGGACGTCGCTTCACTGGCCCATGTTGGTATTATCATTGCACTCTTTCCGGGTGAGGCAGTCGCTCGCCGGCCATTGGATGGCCACTCATGGCAGCTCACGCCAGCTGCCAGCCACTCACGGTAGCTTATGGCAGCCCACTGCAGCAGGGGTTGCAGCCTACGCCGTCGCCAGTGACTCACGGCAGCCCAGCTCCAGGTCGAGCTGTTGTTCACCATCTTAGCTGTAGAGGACAGAGCATCACTGGCCCTAATGTGGGTACGAACCGGGGCCCTGCTGCTCAGAGCTGGCGTCCCAAGTCAACTCTTAACCAACGCGCCACTCAGCCAGTCCCTGTTCCAATTTTTTCATTATCCCAAGGTTCATAAAAGCCACTCATTAACCCCTGAGTTACTGGGACAGCTGTAGGTATAGGTGACCTAGACTCTCCTTGTCTCTGAACTGCCCTTGCATGATGTGAAATAATGACCTTCTTCATCGTCCCTAGAGGCAGCAACCTACTCCCTGAGAGGCATAGCAATTTAGGACAAATATTTTTCTTCAGAAGAGAAATGCATTTTATTTTTTGATAACATAAATCTTTATTACTTTATATCCAAAATGACACTTTTTTTTTTTTTAAAGATTTTTTTTTTTTATTGGGGAATTGGGGGGATGGGAACAGTGCCAGGGAATTGGGGGAAGGGGAACAGACAAGTTGCTGTCGTTTTGTTCTTCAATCTAGTTGTGGAGGATGTTGCTTCACTGGCCCAAGTTGGCACCATCATTGCGCTCTTCCCAGGTGAGGCAGATCAGTCGCCGGCTTCTGGACGGCCGCTCACTGCGGCTGCTGGCCGCTCACGCTGGCTGCTGGCTACACACGGTAGCCCATGGCAACCCACTGCAGCAGGGGCTGCAGCCTACACTGTCGCCGGTGACTCAGAGCAGCCCAGCTCCAGGTTGAGCTGTTGTTCAGCATCTTAGCCGTAGAGGGCAGTGTCACTGGCCCTCATATGTGGGATCCGAACCAGGGCCCTCTGGCGTCCCAAGCGAGCTCTTAACCATCGCGCCACACGGCCGGCCCCAAAATGACACTTTTAAACTGTGACTTTCCATGTTCCAGTTATCTGTTGCTGTATAACAGACAACCTCAAAGCTTAATAGCTTAACACAAGCACCATTTCCATGAGTTGGCAGGTCAGGAATTTGGGCAGGCCACAGTGGGTGATGGATGTTTCTCCTCCGTGTGGTGTTAACAGAGGTCCCTCACTGATATTTAGCTGGTGAATGCACTAGTCTGGATGGTTTGAGGTCACTCTTATGTCTGGTGCTTTAGCAGGGATGGCTGCAAGATTGGGACTGTTAACCAGAGTGCCCACATGTGGCCTCTTGAATATGGTGGCCACAGGGTAGTGGGACTTGTCACATGGCAGCTCAGGGCTCCAAGAGTGAGTCAGCAACTGAGAATCTGCGTGGCTTTTTGTGACCTAGTCTTGGAGGTCACAGAGACTCACTTGGCTCTCTTCTATTGATTGAGTCAATCACCCAGATTTTAAAAAGGGACGTAGACCTCACTTCTCAATAAGAGGAGTGCCAGAGAATTTGGAGCCGTGTTTTCAAACCATCATACATGTAAAAAAATGAATTAAAAGCAAATTTGCCTTTTCCATTTTGTATACATGTAAGGACTGTGCTAATGTTTGAGGTTGTCAACATCACATACGGTGTCCAGCTCTGTAACTCTGTCCAAAATGTGTTCTTCACATGCTTTAGTTCCAAAGGAGTCATTTTATCCAATTGCTCCACTACTGCGTCCTGTCTTATAACTCAGTAATGCTGCTTGAAATTGTGCTTTAGGTGTATCTTTAAACCTTGGTCTGAGACTCATTTGCAAAAAAAAGAACAGTGAGGTAGGGAAACAGTGTCTCCAACTCTTCTAGTATTCATGTTTGCCAAATGATTTCTTCGCTTACTTTGAAAGATGCCAGTTTCAGCAAGTGACTTTGTGATTCCTTTTCCTCTCAGGTACCTGTTTCCTAGGCAACTACTGATCCAACATTTCTGGACCCCAAAGCAACAAATTGATTTCTTAGATATCTATCATGCTCTCCGGAAGCAGTCCCACCCAGAAATCCTTTGTTACTTAGAAAAAATTATCCCTCTCATTTCTGATGTAGGACTCCGGTGGCATATGACAGAGCTGTGCACCAAGGTATTCCTACAAATTAACCCTTCCTACAAACTAGGAATCTTGTTAGATCCAGTATACACTAAAACTAGGTAAGAGGGCTAGTCAGGACCTTGTTAACCTCTACCGGTCTCTTACCTCTCCCAGGTACAGCGTGGTACCCACCCAGCAATACACGACATCCTGGCTCTGAGAGAGTGTTTTTCTAACCATCCTCTGGGCATGGACCAACTCCGTGCTTTTCAAATGGTGAGCACTTTGAGGCTTTCCCTTTTTCATAGCCTCACCTTGCTTCCTTCCGGTCTTGGCTTTCAGTAATACTATTTTAACTTTCTATATTGTTGTGTCACAGAAAGCCTTGAGTCGAGCCATGCTTCTCACACCTTACCTGCCTTCTCTCTTGTTGAGACACCGTTTAAAGTCTCACACCACCGTGATTCACCAACTGGACAAGGCTTTAGTGAAGCTAGGGATTGCCCAGCTGACTGCTCAGGAAGTGAAATCGGTAAGAGCTTGATTGCAATATCAACCCTCAGTCCTTGGTGGGCTTTTGAGTTCACGGGGCTGGGAGATTACCGAGAGCTCCTTGTCTTGCTTGTTATAGCAAAACCCAAGTTCTTTATCCTGTCACCTCATTTCTAGGTCTTTTTTTCTCAGTGAACTTAACTAGTGGGGAGGAATTGTCCACAATAATTTTGATTTGTTTCTTTTCTTTTATTTCTTCAAAAATCAAGGACATTACGCTTTAGACCTACTGTTTTAGAGTGTATAGACCTCTTTGCTTGTCATTATGTACACCATAGCTCAAATTGCCATGATGGGAAGTTTCTGGGAATGAGGTTATAACTAATTTAAAGGAAATTTGGATTATCTGTGGGTTTACACTTCCTTGGCATACTGGCTCTATAATTATTAAGGACCATTTCTCTCCTGAGTGTTACAGGCTTGTTATCTTCGTGGCCTGAATTCAACCCATATTGCCGAAGAGAGGTGTCGCACTTGGTTGGGAGAATGGCTGCAGATTTCCTGCAGCCTGAAAGGTAAGACAAATCCCCATGGCCAAGCCACAAAAATCCAAGTCAGTTTTGTATTTTATTCTAAGATTACTTTGGAGTTAATTATCAAGTACTGTGAGAACCTTGTCTAACTTATGTGTCTAGTTGACAGGGCACAAACTCAGGTGCCTACACAGGCTAAGCAGGTAATGAGGTAGACTGTGCAACCCAAGAGGAAGCAGTGGGGATGGTGGGAGCACGGGAGTGCGTGCATGCTTGTCTGAAGCACTTTCTTAACGTCAGCACTATTGATGCTTTGTTGTGAGGGCTGTCCTGTGCCTTATAGTATGTTTAGTAATATCGCTGGCCTCTACCCACCAGATACCAGTAGTACCTGCCCACCCCCTATCCCGTTCTGACAACCAAAAATGTTTCCAGACATTGCCAAATCTCCAGGTGGGAGGGGAAAGCAAAACTGTCCCAGCTGAGAAGTGCTGGTTTCAAGGTGTTCAAATTCAAACCAAAAACATTTAATTGGCTGAAGGAAAAGTATCTAAGGGTGGGTCTCCTGTTTGGAGCCTTTGTCTAGACTTTGTGTTTTCTAAGTCTGTGAATATCAGGATAGGCCTACTAATCTCCTTGGAACTGAGAAATGTCCCCTGAGCACCAGCTTCTACCAGAAGAATCTCAAGGGTGACAATGGTGTTTAGTACCATGACTGTCTCTGAATTTTCTACTGCTGTCACAGAAGAGTCAAGAAATGAGGATGAGTAGATAGGAATATGTGGTGGAAGGAGAGGACGTTATACACGCAGGGACTGGAACAAAGCAGGGGAACTTGAGAACAATAACCTTTTAATGTCACACCTCCCCGCACTTGGCTTCCCACCTCTGGTTTCAAGTCCTGGACACCAAGACAGTTAGAAGGCAAACTGTTCCCTGGCCAAACCATTAACATTGATGGTGTTTTCAGAAGCTGAGCTGTCCCTCTTGCTACACAACGTGGTCCTGCTTTCCACCAACTACATTGGGACACGGCGCTGAGTGAACATGGAGCTGATGGCATTGTCCTGAAGTCACAACAGTACAGCAGAATGGGACCAAACAGCACTTGTCAGCAGTCTGTGCACTGTTAGATGTGTGAGCGCAGAGGAGCAGGTGCCACAGGCTGCAACAGTGTGGTACCCGTGTGGGAGCTGCAACTGAAACAAACCCCCTTACCAGAGGTGGCCCATGTGAGGTGTCATCCTTGGAATTAACTGGAGCTGGCAGAAGCCTGTAATTCTGGCTTTTACTGTGATATGTTAAGTTCAAATCCCAGGAAGTGGGCTTTTGCCCCAGGCGGGAATCCTCATTTGGCCTAGGACTTACCCACTGCTGTACTTTTTCAGCTGTGTTTTTGTTAAAGGCAGTTTCTGGCCTGTAAGAGGAGCATTTACATGCATGTATGTCTGTGCTCCCCTCAATCTTTCCTGAGATGACCAAAATGGGGAGTTTTTCTTTGGTCCCCCTCACTGGACTAACCACTCCCTTTCCTTTTTAAATCCTTTGACTACTTTTATTATTTTATTTTTTAGTGAGTGACTTATGGGAACGTTCTAATGGAAAAGAAAAAGGGAAAATACAAGTTCTTGACCCCTTCCCCAGTGTTTTAAAGCCTTCACACTCCCTTGTCTTAATTTCTGGGGTGTGCTACAACCCCTGTGGGTCTTAAAACTCTTTGCTACCTCTACTGTGGGGCAGCCATCTAACTCTAAGTGACAATGGCTGCCTTCTCTGGGCCATGAAACAAACCTGTAAGGCACTCATTACTGCCAAGCCGGGGTGACCAGGAGAGGTGTGCATCAAGCTAGTAAGTTGAGTTTAGCTTTTGTCTATGTATGTACGTCAGTCACCTATAGTTATTGTATAAATGCATGAAGCACTGTTTTTAAACCCAAGTAAAGACTGCCTGAACTCAATTGCTGGAAATCACTTATGCATCCTCTAATCATTTTGCTAAGGCTCCTTCACAACACTGACATAACCTAACTAATGGGGAGATAATTGGTTGGAATACATCTTTCTGATGGAATGAAAGTTGATTTGAAGTTGATCCTCTTGCTGGATTTTAAATGGTAACTAGGAATGGAGAATTTCATACATGTGTGTATACATACAGAGGGTGCCAAAAAATGTATATACATTTTAAGAAAGAGAAAAACTGTATTAAAATTGTAATACTTACGGGCCAGCCGAGTGGCTCAGTTGGTTAAGAGCTCGCTCAAGAGTGTGAGCTCTGAGCAGCAGCGGTTTTTTTCCTGGCCTGAGCTGAGCTGCTGCTGAGCTGCCAACAGGCGGCAGGATGACTCGGCTAAAAAAATAAAATAAAATTGTAGTCCTCAATATGTACCGATAACTGGCGGCGGGTTAGCTCAGGTGGTTAGAGAGCAGGCTCATAACACCAAGGTTGCCAGTTCAATTCCCATATGGGCCAAAGAACTGCGCCCACCTCAACTAGATTGAAAACAACTACCTGACTTGGAGCTGATGGGTCCTGGAAAAATACACTGTTCCCCAATAAAATTTCTTATTAAATATACATACACACACACACACACACACACCTATAACAAAAGATGAATACAAGTCATGTGTATACATTTTTGGGCACCCCGGTAGATATATATATAAAGTATAGAATTAGAAAATGGGCCCCAACAGTAGGGACTGACTACAGACGGGAAAAGCTCCATCCGGGCAGGATCAAGGCCTGTGTCAGCTGAAAAGAGGCATAAGGGCATAGGATGCAAGCAAGTCCAGCTCTTGATGCTCCAGAGAATGTTGTTTTTCCACCATGAAACATTTCTATTGTTAACATTAATCCCTAACTGACCTAATTAGTTTTATATAGTGTTGGAGAAGCATCCTTTTTCTAACAACTGAATTGTGGCCTGCCAAGATAAAGAATAACACATCATTCTTTTGATATTTCTTTAATATTACATTTAAATATTCTCTTTAAATACAGCATTATCACAATGTAAAGGCCCTAAAAGGCAAAAAAAAAATTTTTTTTCAGAGGACCAGACAAGCTTTGGATTCACATTGAAAATACTACCTGTGTACAGTATATGAGAAAGGAAATTGGAAAATAATAAAGAGTTGCAGTAAGAAGTCATTTATTTTATCTACGACTGGACTGAACCGTATTGAAACTATCTGCTTCTGTGATCAAAGGCCTAGCTTTTCTAGCAACCATGAGCTATAATTCTGCCCAACCAAGGTAGCACCAGAAATGAGATGGACTGGGTTGTAGAAAAGGCCATTTACTTGACAAGACAGTTAATGCTAAATGTTAATATTTAGCATTTAAAAGCTTGGGATCAGTGCGAGTCAGAATTGTAGTTAATGAAGGGATGGACTTAAGATTAAGAAGCTAGTTTCTTCAGAAAAATCATTATCTTGGGGGCTGGTAATGAGTTTAACAATTAGATTCAAATTCTTTGCTTGATCCCAAGGGCTAATGTGTTTCTTACTGAGCAGCTGGAATCCACTTCCTAGATTAGGAATCCTTCCTAAGGAGACAATGTATAGAGTTCCCTCTTTCCTTCCAACACAGACATCCAGATTCTTCTCCATAGAGTCAATTCCCAATTAAGCTTCAGTCTTATATTTGACGGGACCAGTCTGAGATGGGGGAGTGCAGCTCAGTTTGGGATAGCATCTAGATCTCAGTCCTTAAGACTCAACTCTTTTGTGAGACTAGAGGACAGAGAAGACCTATGTACTTAATTAATTAAGGATTCCTCCAAATGTAAAAACCAGCAAAGACAGGAATGAACAGGAGAGGCAGAATGGGTTAAAAGATGTTATCTGTGTTAAGTACAAGGGTTTTCAGGCTCAGTTTAGAGATTTCATAGGTGAAATGCTGCTATGACATACATGAAGTTTCCTTTTAGACACGAGGGCCTTAATATCTTTATGCGCAAGATAAGTAGAACAGTTATGTCCCCCATCAAAAAAGTTTTTCACTTTGTACTTTCCTGGTTAATAAACCATACCAGAAGCAAAGCGTGGCATCAAGGATGCTAGAGAAGAGTGTTTTGTTCCCTACTGCCTCCATTCAAAAACAGAGGCCATGATAACTTTGCTAATAAAAAAAATTCAGTGGTGTTCAGTGGAGCACATCCAGGAACATCAGCTGGACATAAAAGGAATAGGAACCGTGTCCTCTCAATAGAGGTTAGAACTAATTTTGAGCCCCACTCTATAGACCTCAAAGGTTACCATCAGAACTTGAATTCTTTGGAGCCTGGAAGTTGTTATGTAGCATTTAAGAATTGGTTTGGCTTCCAATTTTTATCAAGATGGAGATGTCCAATAAATATGTGCAATTCTTGGGGATGAACTGGATTAGTATAAGAACTTTCTAACCCTGTATATCCAAGAAGGACCACAAGAGTAGATACAGGAAAAAGAAAACAAAACTAGTTGGTGACCTTCGATTGCCACATCCTACATTCCTTTTAAAGCTCAAATCTCCCAAAATGGGGGAAAAACCTGGGTGAAAGCAAGCATGGCACAAATCATCTTCTTTCTAGACAACAGCCTGTTTCTACTGCCTCCTTTGGACACAGTTAATACTCCATATATGCCTCCAATGGGCCAGGTGAGCCCCAGCCTAGAGCTGCCCGACGGAGCTAGTGTTTTAGACACACACCGAAGACTCAGGTTCTTTACACCACATCCCAGCCAATCTAGTTAGCTCTTTTTCTTTAAAGGAAAAAGGACGGGGGGGGGGGGGGGGGGGGGGGGGGGGGGGGAAAGACAAACAGACAAGTTAAATTCTAGTACCTAACAACATGAGAAAGAAACAATTCAAGTTATAGACCAGGCATCCCCACTGTGGGGAACAGGTCAGAGAACACCAAACATGTCAAATATTAACTTATTTACCAAATAGGGGGCCGGGAAAGCAGGTTAAATTGTTATAAATCCTGGAAGTTTTGTACAGAAGCAGAGACCCTTCTACCCACTCCTCTCTAGATTCAACCAGGTGACATTTCCAACTGTATTATGACCCACCAAAATGGGACAGCAGAGTAACCACAGGAAAATGAGCTTGTACGCCACCTGGAGCTGAGGAGAGAAGGGCTTTCCCATGCTGCTCAAATTCTGGTCCCTACATACAGAACAGCTGCTTGAATCACCCAGCTTCTCCTGTGAGATCCTAGTTCTTTGTTCCAATGGCCCAGAAAGCTCAGTATTCGGCACTATGCAGCCACCTCTGCCCAAGACCGTCCCCAGGTCAACCTGGGGCTGATCGTCTTGGTTCTGTTTACCCTTTAAAAAATACTTGGACAGACTATCCTGTCCCACCCGTTCCCCAGAGACCCCAATAAAATAACATGGGAGCAGCAGCTGCTTCTACAGTTTTGTTTTGAAATGGTGTCAGATAAAATAAGGGAATAAATAGAGAATGGGTAAGAGGCAGAATCTCCATCTTCATGTCACACTGCCAAAGGGAGTTCCAGGGAAGAATCTTCAGAGGGCCTGTCCTCACTCTGCGGGGAGGTCTTCTCCACCACACAGCCCTCTTCACTGTCTGTGCAGAAGGGAAGGTTTGAGGGGGACCAAGAGGGGCGGAAGTCTTCATTCTCCAGCTCCTCGGGGTTACAATCTTCGGGCACTAGTGCTTCTAGTGTGGATGTTTTCCCCGCCTCTGGTTTACAGAGGGCGGCTGGGTCTGTGGGGCTACAAGCCACCAGTGAGGTAACAGGGAGAGAGAAGACATTCAGATCCTTCTCCTTGGGGAAAGAGGGTGGGACTTCTCCTGTACTGGGCTCTCCTTTCACCCCCAGGACTGGCCTCTGCTCCACCTGATAATAGACCAGGGGCCCACTGTTCAAGTAAGATGGGTTGTTCACTGCTGAGGCAGTTGGGTGGTCCGAGTTCTCGGCAAAACACAGGACGGAGGAGCCCGGAGTCAGCTGAGCCTGGATGAGAATGGGGGCTGTCAGGCCTGGGCACAGCTCTTCAGGAACAGCGAGGGGCTCCTCCAGGATGCACACACCCAGGCTCTCTATGCTGGAGTCCAGGCTGGCACTAGAGCCGCTGGAGTCTTCCTCTGCCTTGAGCCGCTCCAGTTCCTCTGCACTCTGTAGGTGCATCACTGCTGTCTCGTTCTCAGCAATGAACTCCTGGAAGTCCTGGGTCTCAGAGCCCTGCGCTCCTGTCAGGCTGCAGCTGGCAGTGGGTGAGGGCTCCTCGTCTGGGGCTGGCGGGCGGCTCACCTGCCGCTTGCTCTCCAGTTCCAGCTTCATGATAGTGTGGAGGTAATGAGTCCGGACCCGAATTGGATTAAATTCAATGCGCCCCGCCATGTTTCCACAGCCATCCCGGGAGCAGCCACATGGAAAGGACATGCGATCCACCTGAGGAAAGGACAAGGAAGTTGAGGCAAGATGAGACCCAACAGATTTAACAATGGCGATAGGTGACATTAGCTGGCAAAAAACAGGTAGCTGGTATTTGAGGTCTTGCAAGAGAAACAACCAATTCAAAACATAACATGCTAAGTGAAATAAATCAGAGAGACAAATAGCATATGATTTCACTTATATGTGGCATCTAAAAAACAAAATAATTGAACACATAAAACGGAAACAAACTCACAGATACAGAGAACAAACTGATGGTTACCAGAGAGGAATGGGGTTGGAGGGCTGGGTAAAAAAGGTGAAGAGATTAAGAAGTACAAATTGGCAGTTACAAAACAGTCACTGGGATGTAAAGTACAGTGTAGGGAACATAGTACTATTGCAGTAACTATTTGTGGTGTCAGGTAGGTATTAGACTTATTGGAGGATCACCTTGTAAATGTCCAACCACTATGCTATACACCTGAAACTAATAAAATATCGAATGCCAACTATAATTTTAAAAACTTTAATAAAATTTTAAAAAATTAAAATGAAAGAAAACAAACAAAACACATAACATGCAGGGTGAGCTGACTAGATGTTCTGATAATTATATCAGAACACTTGCATTTTAATTCCAGTGTAGCCTTATTTCTTTAGGACTTTTTTTCCTCTTCTAAACAAAAAGTAGGCAAAAATCATATCAAAGGGCCCTTCCAGTTAAAAAATACAGAGATGCCTCTCTGAATGACAACAGTTCTCAGAGTAGAAGACATTTATGTGCCACAAAGACTTTTCCAGAACTTACCTGGTTTATTGAGCAAACAAAAGGCTGGGGCCTAAGCCTAGTGCCTCCTGCAATGGCAGGCATGGGAAAGAGAGAAGACGACCTAGCTAGTCCAAAGCAACACACCTGGGGAACTAAGCAAAAATGCTAGTTTGCTAAGGTGCTATAATGGGGGTTCAAACAAAAGTACAGTCAGCTTTTCACTATCTGCTTCATTTTCCCGATGGTTGACCACCTGAAGCAGTTACCAAGATAATTAACTTAGGCCAGGGATATCTAGGAAGATGTTTTCTACTTCATTATCTCCCTTTTGCATCACCAAAAGGAAAAAAAAGCAACCCATAAACCAAAAAATACAATTAAAATCATGAGTAAGCAAGTAAGTATGTACAAATATACAATGTCTTCTATGATGTCAACTTAAAGAACTCTCTATTTCAGTTCTTAGTAACAGTCTAAGTATCAGGACTGTCCTCCGGTCTGTGTTTAACTGACTGCTTCATTATGGGACTTCAGTCTGAAAAGCAGGATTTGGCCAGTTTCACTAAAGCTATTTGATACCTACCTAATAAGAAAGAAAAGTTTGGTTAGGATAAGTTCAACTGTAAGGACTCCGCATGCAATTCTCAGTATACAAGTTCCAGATAAACTTCATTCTTTAGGATGGTACTGCTGTTTTCAATTGAAATGTGTCTTCCAAACTGTCCCTTATCAGAGGGCCAGCTAGGGGATGAGGCTTTCTATCTTTTAGGACACTAGGAATTTAAGCTCTGAATTGAGGCCAAGGGTGATCCTGAATGGCAGGATCCAGGAACTATTTTGATTTTTACACAACTGGAGTAGAGGTACTGTGAATAAGTTTGCAAGATAAAATCTAAAGGCTTACCTTACTTTTACTTCTCTGCTTCCTTTTACTTCAAGGAATCAGTCAATATTTAGGGAACAGAAACTAAATGGTAAACTTACTAATCTGTTCCTCCGTTTGCTGACAGCGGCTTATCACCCCCGAGGTGTAAAACACAGACAGGAGCACCAGTATCTCCAAAGCCTACGAATCCTGTCTCCTGTCACGCTGGTTTCCTTAGTTGGTGGCAGAGGGCTGTGAACTGGGGAGGGTTCACAGTCACGGGGAACCCACCCATGGATGGGAAGCCTCCCATGTTCATTGCACCCATGCCACACCTCCGACTCCAGTGTAGATATATCATCTCAGGTCAACTTGGACTGACCTGGCATTTAATCCCAGCTTGGCTGCAGGCACACGCTTCTGGGTCGCAATACAGCCGACAGTCACAACCACACTCCTCCCGTGACAGGCGGATGGCTCGGAGTTCTTGCTTCTCTTCAGCATCAATGCGGTGGACCCCAGAAGCCCTCAGCAGGGCCCGTCGCCGTTTGGTGGGCAGAGGCTGCAGGAAGAAGTAATCATCCACCTCCACGTTTTCCACATCAATATCTTCATCAGAAACATCGTCCAGTGTCAGGCCATCGGCCTCCACCGATTCCACTGTCCCATTCTTGGTCAGCTGCCAATAGACAGGAAGGAAAGGTTAGCCTCCAGAGCATTGTCAGCATGAACCTCCAGGGAGCATGAGGAGCACGGCCCAGCCGAACTTTCTGCAATGACAGAAACAGCCTTGCTGTCGTATACAGCAGCCCAGCACATGTGGCTTGCCAGGCACTGGAAATGTAGCTAGTGCAACTGAGAAACTGAATTTTTATTTCATTTTAATTAATTATAAACAGCCACATGTGACTACCATATTGGATGATGTAGGTCAGCAGTATAAACCTAGAGCAGCAAGACAGGAACCTATGCAGCTCTAACACCACCCTGTCAACACATGGGACATCACTTTTCTGGATCAGTTTCTCAAAATCTCTGCCTCATCTTCCCTCCTAGAAGATAATCTATTCCCACAAATATACCCTCCACTCCCAGACTTGTGTCCCTTAACTTCAGCTAACTGCCTTCTAACATTATCTTCAGGGAGAAGATATGTCAATGGCTGGATGTTCCTTCGGTGTACAGGTAACCTTGCAAAACACCTTTCAACTTGTAACCCAAAGGATTCAAAATCACGTTTTGGGAAGAAGGTACATTAAAGTGTAGTACAAGGCTACCAGGTCTTTGTCAATGAACCTGAATCCCCACAGTGAGAACAATTATCTGCAAACACAGAAGAGCTTCATTTTACTGGGAGGAGAAAAAAATGAGCAAATTACTAACAGCTATCAAAGAAAGCCCTTGCTTCCAACTCATGGCCTAAAAGAAATATATTCTATCTCTTTTATAATCCATTTTCATTTGATTTCAAAGAAAAGTTATATGTGAGGTAGGGTGGCATGTGTAATACTGGGTGTACTATCTACAGGCAGAAATCTGGGTTCTCTGTGCTAAGAGGGATCGAGACAGGAAAGGGAATCTTAGTAGGACAGGTTGAAGACAATCCGTGGTTGAATGAGTTTTGAAAACTCACTAGAGAGTTCAAGTAAAGAAAATGAGGCCTCATAATCCCCAGGGCTCTGGAAACTTCTAGCAGGATGACAGCCATGGTGCTGGAGGGTTTGGCTTATTTCATCAGACAGCCAGAGTAGTGCTGGTGGAGAAACAACTCCCAGGAGAGATGTGATGCAACAGACCTGGGTAATAAGCTACACAGCTGTTTTGTCTGTCTGGGGGGAGGTGGTAGGAAAAGGGGACAAAGTGGTACTTCTGCAGACTCCCTAGCCTAGTATTTCTGTACCAGGCAGGCCAACTCCAAGGGGCCTTTCCACAGACCTTAGGATTGCTCCTATTTCACCAGAGTTGGCCTCCTTTTAATCACCCTCCCTCCTGCTATCCAAGAAAAGAGATCAGAGATGCTACAGAAGGAATTCCATGTAGATATGAGAATTTAATGTTATGGAGGTGGCATGTCATATCAGTGAGAAAAAGTCTTCTAGTCATCAAACAGTAATGGGACGACTGGATAGTCTTTTGAAAAAAAATAAGGTTAAATTCTCAATTCATACTATTCATAATGATGAATTCCATATGGATAAAAAGCAAAAAAAGGTAATAAAAGTATTAGAAAAATTATTGGTAACTAAAGCTGCAGAATACCAACAGCTTTTTTCTTTTTCTTTTTTTTTAGTGGCAGTCCAAAAGAAAAGTAAATATTAGATGGCATACGCGAGATGCAGAATATATATTTTTGACATCAACTGCCTCCCTTAGAGAGTGCTAAAGATAGGAAGATTTTCTCTTTTTGACACCAACTGCCTCCCCCAGAGAGTGCTAAAGATAGGAAAATTTTCTATTTTTGACACCAACTGCCTCCCCTATAGAGTGCTAAAGATAGGAAAATTTTCTAAGAAAAGGGTAAACTGGACCTGGAGAGGTCAAAGTAAGGGTTTTGTTTTGACGTGGAAAGATGTATTAGATGCCACCATTGCTGGTGCTCACTAAATCTGCTAGTAAGTAGGAATCCTGTACCTCCCTCTTCAGTTTGCCTGGCTTTGTCGCTAGACCTTCTACAAGGGAGGGCACAGAACAGGATGGTGTCCGCTTTTGACAGGTCATTCCTTTACCAGATTTAGGAGAAAGGTTTCTTTTTAGGGAAAGGAAAGAAAGCCTTCACTGCAAATGATGAGCACAGTGTTTATTTGTCCAGCTGTTCCTATAGCAGCAGGAAGGTGATGGGGTCAGTGATAGAATTCCTCAGACAGAAGGGAAGCTTGAATGTCATTCTAGTTAGAAAAACAGGTGTGAGGCTTTAGGAGTAGGCTGAGGGAAGTAGACACAGAGCTCTCAAAGGGAGAAAGGAATGAGATCCAGTTAACCTATATCCTCTGCCACCAGCTCTCCAAACCTACCACGTTCTGCTGTCTCGTTAGGATCTCACCCACAACCCTGGAAATAATGCAGCCACCTGTTTTCATATGGGCCCACAAGAAACCTGGCCAGGCCTAAAGCAGTGTTCTCCAAATTTGGAACTAGAAGCTCTGGGGGAAATTTTGCAGTCTGGTGGAAACTGTGGCTGTGAAAGCAAATGGTAGCTATAAAGAGCCATCTGAGATGGGTTTCTCCCAGCCCTGCTCACCTGCTACACTTGAAGAGCTGGTGTGGCATCAGATGGCAGGCACAGTACTATACAAATCAAAATACCCATTTGCTAATGCTGCTGTTGATGCTTACAAGACTACCACCTAGAGGTGATGGAGTTACAGAAACAGCAGGATCCTTTCAATGTAAAATCTCTAAAGCCTCTTCTGTGTAAGAGACAATCACCTGACAATAAACTGAAACCCTGTGCTTCCTCAGGTTCTAGAGGGAGCAGAATTCAATGTCTTCAGGTATTCACATTTTAACCTTCTTAAAAAATTGTTGAGGGGGTGAGAATAGGGAATTCTAGAGAACCCATGAAACACAAAAAGAAGGGTGTCTCAAAAGATTTGATTCCAAATCTGAGATTCCACGTTAGAAAGATCTGGAAATCTACATGCCAAGGGCCACAATCAAAAAATTAAAAAAAAGCCAATAGACCTAGATGGTTTCCCACTTTATTCTGGCACATGGGCAGTACCACACCCCAGACCCCCTAGGCACCTTCATCTTCTTGGCATGGAGTTTCTCCTCCTTCAGATGCTCACGAAGAATCTCCCGATGGTTCACCTCCTGCTCTTGAGCAAACTCACAGAGTGTGTAGCTGCGTACAGAGTTATGGCGCTGGGCCATGCCCAGAGAGCTACCACCCTGGCTGGGCACACTGGTGAAACCCTGGCGCCGGGCAAAGTAGTATACAGTCACCTGGTCAAAGCGTACATTCTTCCTCCGCAGCTGCTTCTGCCGCTTCAGGATGGATGTGGCTGAGAAGGGAGCACAGAACAGTTTTATTAACCCAGAGATGGGCTGTTGGGGGACCTCATTCTTTCTCATCCTTCTAGGCTTTCAATCTCCTCCAAAGGTGCTCCCTGTATACCTAGAGACATTTCTAGTGTTCAAATCATAAATGCATAGTTGGAAGGGACCTTGAACATCAGCTGGTCCACACCACTGCCTTCAGGCTGACTTCACCCAGACCACAAAATCTATTTTTTAGACATCAGTTGGGAAAAGGATCTCTAGGTAATCTTTTTAGGATACAACCATCTATATAGCTTACTGACCAACACCAGCAGCTACTAGTCACATGTGGCAATTTAAATTTAATTAAAATGAAATAAAATTTAAAACTTAAGCTCCTCAATTACACTAATCTCATTTGAAGTGCTCAACAGCCACATATGGTCAATGGCTAATAGTGAACAATGCAGATATAGAACATTTCGATCATAGCAGAAACTTCTATTAGACAGTGTTATATAACGGGATAGCCAATTTCTTCTGTAAAGGACCAGGTAATAAGTTTTTTAGGCTTTGCAGGCCATGAGGACTTTGCTCCAATTAATCAACTCTGCCACTATGGCATGAAAGCAATCATAGGCAATGGGTGTGGCTGTGTTCCAATAAAACTTTATTTACAAAAACAGGCAGTGAGCCTGATTTGGCCCACAGGCAACCTCTTCTATAGTATCAGAAGTTCTTTCCAAGAAACTAATTGAGCTGGAAGAATTAAGCAATCTGGAGTTGCCCCAGTTGTCCAGGTATTAAGTGTTTATGTCTTTCTAGAGTTACCATTTCGTGGAACTCTATGGGACTCTGGTGGGAAAGGCTGGAATCCTGGACTCCTCCTCCTCTGATTTAATTCATCCCATTCTGGGGACCCACAAACCCAGCAAAAGTAAAATCAGCTAGAATAAATCAAGACTTAAGTCTATGCTATTAGAGCAACAAGGTTCTCCCAAGAGCAAGGCTGAGCTAAGAGTGAGAAAGATTATGATTAAGGGCATATTCCCAAATTGGATCAAAAAGCTGCAGTGGGCTGAGGCTTGGGGATGTGGGTGCATACAGGGACCGAGTGGCTCACTCACGTGTGAAGCTGGCAGTTGTAGGAGGATTGAGGCTGTCGCAGCTGTCGGCACTATCACTGCTCGAGATCTCATCATCTGAGTTGGGCACCGATGAGCCCACATCCACATCATCAAACTTCCTCTTGAGACCCGAGCCCGTGAATGCATCCATTGGTTTCAAAGGGGTTCCTTGGGGAGCCCACCACGTTGGCCCCAAAGCCCCTGCTCACCGCCAGCTAGCCAGGTGCATTAGGATTCTGGCCAGGGGAAAAGAGGAATAAACATTCCTGTCCTAAGACAGACCCCTCCCAAGTCTATAAACACAGCTCTCCCACTGAAGGCAGAAACACCTGAGCTAGCAGTGATGTCAGGTCTCTTGAGGTTAGGTCATTTCTCTACTGATTCCAGCCAACATTCTCCTACTTTTGTTTCCCCTCAGCCCCATCCAGTCTGTCACTCTTCGAATAATGAGATGAATAATAGCAGCACCTTTCCCAGCAGAGTGAAAACCTTTGGTTCCAAGCCAGCTGGGCTCTAGGCTTCATTTGGGGGTGTTGGGGGGGGGGCGGGGGATAACAGTAGCTGCTCTCCTGATCAAACAGGAGAGCTCTCCAAGGGGCCAATAGGAGGGACTGGGGATCAAAGGCAGACTTAGGCTGTGCCTAAACCTAGACTAGACGCAATTATGTTTCCCAGTGAAGATATAGCCTGGCATTTCCCAAAGTGTATATGTGAAATAAACCAATTCCATGGACATTAATAGCTTTTACAGGGAAATAGGACCTCTGTGTCAAAACAGTTTAGAAAACTACTTATGGGAGGAACTCTTAGAGGCTTTTAATATGCTAATGAGCAGGTGAAGGGTAGGAGAAAACAGCAAGCAGTGTTTCACACACCTGATTATGGAACCCTTTGTTTTCCAGAGTAGTTTAGGAGGCAAATGATCCTTGGAACACACTTTGGGAAATAGTGCTCTAGACTCTCAACTTCAAAGTACATAGGCAGCCAGGGAAATGCTTTACCCAGATCTTCACAAGTGTAAAGTGTCTCACCAGGCTCCTAAAAAGGTCAAATTTGTTTCTAAAGAATGGACTGAAGATTAGAATCTGCACTGGCTTCAAAACCCAGAATCTTTCCCAATCTCATACTGCTCCATAAAATAGGGCTCCACTGGTCTAGCATCATCTTCTGTGCAAGGAAAACAGCTTTCCCACCTTTGCCCTCCGTAAAGAAACCAGCAAGGGGAAAACAAGTGGCAACAAAAGTGACAATTTACTGTTTATATCAATATGGCAGGTAGTGTCTTTGACACTGTCATACAACCTGGGAGTCTGGGATACAAATCTTTCTCCTTCTCTCTCTTTGGACTTAAGTTCCGAAGGAGATGAATCTGCTTGACAGAAATGCTGTCAGAGCCACAGCTACATGTGATGATGCGAAGCCTTCCTGCTTTGCCTCAGTAATGCCAGAATCTCCCCAGACTATGATCTCACTAGTTGCTAATTATGCAGCAGGAATAACAACACTGCCCAGAAAGACAGGGCTGCATTACTGCAGAGCAGCTACCCAGAATATACTGTGGTGTCAAGAGATGCCTGCTACAGAGCTGTTTTCCTGGGCTGTCTCTTGGAAGCAATTTGCCTGCTCTTGGATAAGCTCTACATTGTCAACCAGACCTAATAAGTACTTTAGAGAGGATATTTCCGAATCTATCCATCAAGATCTCATCAAAATTCTGCCTTTAAGTCACCAGATATAACTAAGAAACCTCAGCCATATAAGTCTCAGACAAGTGAATTCCTGAAATAAATTTGGCCAGGGAGGAAAAAAATTATCAAGTACTTGATAAGAATTGTAATTAAATGAAAAAAATGAGCCCAAAGTATCAATTCTGTTCTTCAGCTCACTGATCTTGCTATCAGAGGTCACATTCCTAGGACATGGTAAGAACCAAGCGCGCCAAGGACTTTTTATGGGTTAAGATTTCAGATGGGTTTAAAGGTATCTATTAACAAAGTTTTCATTCCATTCTATTGGGGGGAGGGGCTTTGCAATTGAGTACTTATGTGGGTGGGATAAAAAAAGAGAATAATGTTGACCACTGAATTTAATTTTTCCTCCCCACTTTAGTTCCTTATCAACCACATGAAAACTAAGACTGAACTGAAAATCTACTTTCTCAGAAAGGGCTTAAGTCCAGCTTCAGTTTTAACTGAGATCCAGCTGGTGTTGTGTTGCTACTAGGAAGGTGGCCCCTTCCTCAGCCTGAAAGCTCTCAGGGATTTATGACTGGAAGCGAATGTGCACTTGTGGCTCTTTCTGGGTGCCCTCTGCTTCAAGTAGTGTGGGTTCCCTTTGAATATTTCTCTTTAAGCTCCACATGAGATTGGGTCTGGTCCCAAACCATCTTTATTATCTGAATTCTCCACTGTCTTCACCCAGTTGCCCTCGGGGTTATCACTTCTCTTAGGTTAATTTTTGTGCACGCTGGTGCAGCCAGGATTGCTGGCTGCTTGTTCCATTCTCCTTCGTCCTTTTATCTATGTCTTCCCCCCTTTCACTTCTGGAATAGTGTTTTCTGGGCAATGATAGGAAGTAGGTAAGGAAAAAAAGAAAAAAAGATGTGAGGAGAAATATATTTTCTTTAAAACACCTGAGAATAATCTATGGCTATATGTGTAAATAATGTCCATATTGACTTAGCTTTCTTCAGTCTACCCAGGATTAGCATCACTTTCTCTGACATTAACCCCATTATTAAAAATTTTAAAAATCCATCGATTTTGTCCTGACAACCAATATGTTTAAATTTCAACCCAGCTCTCCTTGTCCAACTCTGATGTGAACCTGACTTGTTAGATAAAGATATTCACTGGGCACCACTTCCAGTGGCCTGAGATCTTGTTTTGCAACAGCCACAACTAGAATAGGTTCCACACTTTCCAATTTATCAAATCAACCTCCTTTGAAACCACAATTAGAAACCAGTCATTCCTACCTCTCTCAACTCTTCATTCATTCATTGGCAAAGGATCAATGTGTGTGTTCAAGAGAAACACTTGTACTCCCAGCACTTAAACCCATACAGAAATAATCAAGGTGTGACTGACAATGCAGGTCATAACTGACAGTTAACTGCCAAAGTGAGCACCTCAAACAACAAATGCTTTTGAAGAAAATAATGCAAACCTCTATTAAAGCTTTTAAATGCCAGTAAAATGAAAGGTCCACAGACACTTTCTGGCTACATGCCTACGGTCTTTTCTCAAGTGTTTTCACTGAACATTTCCCAAAGGTATGTGAAACAATTCAGATCCATAGTGTGTAGAAGATATTAGGCTAGTATCAAATAAAATAGATCTACAGCATATGTGTATTTTAGTGTTAGTTCTAAGCCTTTTCAGACCTATGAGGATTCCTTTAACAACCCCCCAAAATCAACACATGAGACTAGGAAAATTTGTGGATGCAGAATATATTTGCAAAGTTTAGGTAATAAAAGCCGTCTCTTTTAAATGAGTCCAAAATAATAAGACAAGGTACATCTCACAGGAGAAAGCCTCTCCACTTAACTGGAACCCAATCTTCTTCACGGGACCAAAATCTCTAGTAAGAGTGTCAGGGCTACCATCTGTAGCTGGGTTAGGAAGGAAGGCTTGCTGCTAAGTGTGACCTGTCTTGTTTCTCCTTTTACATTATATTGTGGTTGATTCTCAAATATTATGAATTTCATGGATCTATGTGTCCTTGTGACTACCAGGATCATGAACTTTTACAGCACTCAAGCAAAAACATCCTGTTGAAACTATTGGGCTGTCGGAAAAGTCATGATGTATTTTTTGCTTTTCATTGCAAAAATGCGTCATGACTTTTCCGACAGCCCAATAGGTATCACAAGGAAGTCCCCCTTGAACCCTCCCTCCCTGGTTTTTACCCATTCACTGGCACAAGGTTAGAATTTGGTTTTCCATGTCTAAATTACCAGCATATGGAGGACACAAGATCTTTGTGGGAGAACTGGAACATGACGCTGCAGGGACCATTAACTCTCAAGGCTATCCAGTCATTTAGAAGACTGGCACACACCAACATCCTCCTGGCTTTGGAGATTTGCAAGATGTTAAGTCAGTCAAGAAAAGGGAAATCTGACTCAACTATGGATTTACCTTGAACTGAAAACTGTAGGACAAGGGGACACTGTGTCTCCTGGGGATAACTTCTAACATTTCATTTTGAAGAACGGTTTGTGTGTCACAATGCCACTCTAAACCCCTTTAAAAAGGATGAATCAAGAGCATGGCACTAAAAGGGATGGATGGCAGTCAGCTGCGTGTTTGGGCCTGTGAAGATCAAGCTAGCAACCAGGGAAAGTGATGCTTTCGTTTTCAGACACTACACCAGAAAAATAGGGGACACCAAAAACCTAAGCTGAAAGGACATGTCAAGTCACCAGTTCCCCTTAACGGACACCGCCAATGAATCCTTCAGCTCCTGGCCCACTTCTGATTTCTGCAAACCTTCCCGCTCATTCCAATCTTCTGCAGCCCCTACCCAGCCTTCCCATCCCTTCCTGCCTGCTACTCACAAATTCCCAACCACTCCTCCCACATTTTCCTCTATTCCCCCTCCCCTTCCTTCACTTCCCTCCATCCTACATCATCTCTACTCCATTCCGAACTCAACCCTCATCCGCAATCCTGCCAGCTTCCAAGCCGCCCATCGGTCTCCCTCGAGCTGCCCCCGCAGTCCGGGCCCGCGTCCTCCGTGCCGCTCGCTCCCACGCCTTTCCCTACTCTTTCCCTTCCCAGCGGCGCCCTAGCTCCCCGCCCCCCGACCGCTCCCGACCAAGCCTCCCTCATTTCTGACCCCTCAATCCGCGCGGCTCTGGGTTGACCACTCCTCCATAGCCGCCCGAGGGCCGATCCCGAGAAAGGACGAGGCGGCACCCTCCGCCCCGCACCCCCAGGCCCATTACCGGCCCCGCCGCAGCTGCCTCCTCCCGTGATGGTCTCTGCCGCCCCCGCTGCTGCCGCCGCCGCCCTAGCCCGGTGGGAAGGAGGGAGGAGAGCGCGAGTCCCGGGACCGCGGCGACGGTCGGGGAGTTCCCAGGGCGGCAGGACGGGGAGGTAGGGTGGGTGGGCAGGTCGGCCGGCAGGCGGCGGAGGGCAGACGGCTCCGGCAACTCAGGCGCTCCCAGCAGCATCCGCCCAGCACCGCCCCGGCTCCGGCTAACAATAGGCTCCGGCTGCAGCGCTCTGGCTCTTATAGGCGCCTGCACGTCCTGACCGATCCCCGGGGCAGGCTGGGTAATGAAGTCTACGTGCCGGCCCCACGCCCACCAGCATGACGGGAGTTGGAGGCGGCGATCGGCGCAAAACCGAAACTCGCCAAGCAAACAGGTTTAGGAAGCGGTGTCTCTGCAGCAGGGGACCCTGGGAAAGCGAGTTTAGCGCCGCTGCAGCCTTTTGAAGAGGAGAGACCCTCAGTCACAGATGTTCAGTGACTAAACGAATTCTCCACTAAAGCTACCCATTTCCTTTCGCCAGGACCACATTCCCATGCCTAAAGAACATAATCCCCCTTATCCTCACTCATGGGATCTTAAATAGCATGACATGCTGCAGCCTGCCCAAGGTATAGAAAATACAAGCAATGTATTATCTCAGTATGTATTGACGGATTAAGTGTTTTCTTTCAAAAAAATGTTTACATCATCTCTGATATTCACACATTGCAACCCATTTTTATGATGGGAAAACGAAATCTTAGAAGTCATATGTCATTTGCTAAGGACACCCAGCCTTGGTTTCCTATCTCTGAAAATAGTGCATGTCTCTTCCTTGACCTATAAGGCCCTACAAGATATACAATAAGTGCATCCTCCCACCCTACATCCCTAATCCTAGGTCATCTTGTTTCCTTCCCTCCCTTACTCTGCTGTAACACTGGCCCACTGGCCTCCTTGCAGTTCCTTTGACAGGACAATCATGCTCTCGCATCTCAGGACCTTTTGCGTAGAAAACTTTCACCAGCTAGCTACATACTTACTCCCTCACTTAATATTGGGTTGTTGGGAAAGTCATGACGCATTTTTGCAACGAAAAACAGAAAAAAATATGTCATTTTCCCGACAACCCAATATTTGCTCAAATGTCCCCTTATCAGAGATATTCCTAACCAGATTTCTAAAATGGTGCTTCTCGGTCTGGCCGTGGCACATTGGTTGAGTTGGCTTGGGACACCAGCTCTGAGCAACAGACACCGGGTTCGGATCCCACACGAGGCCAATGACGCTGCGCCCTCTACAGCTCAGAAGGTGAACAACAGCTCGACCTGGAGCTGGGCTGCCGTGAGTCGCTGGCGATGGCGTTGGCTGCAGTGAAGCTGCTGTGAGCTTCCAAGAGCTGCTGTGAGCGGCAACTGAGCTGCCTCATCTGGGAAGAGCACAATGATAATACCAACATGGGCCAGTGAAACGACGTCCTCCACAACTAGATTGAGGAACAAAAGCACAGCAACTTGTCTGTTCCCCTTCCCCGATTCCCCAATAAAAAATCTTTAAAAAAATAAAAAATAAAATGGTGCTTCTCTTTAGTCTCCATCCCCTTGCCTTGTATTTCTTCTTAGCATTTACCACTTGGCATATATATTTTTCAGTCTTCTCTCACTTGACTAAATTCCATGAGAAAAAGGAATTTGTTTACTGCATCATCAGCACCCAGCACAAAGTCTCGTATTTGACATTTAGGAGCTCAGTAGCTATTTACTGGATATTTATTGGATTGATGGATGGCAGGAATTTAAACTCAGGTTAGGCAGATTCCAAAGCTCAGTGCACTTTTCACTGCAACCAAGAACTATGGAGCCAGATCTACTGGCTACCAAGCCATCTTGGTTTCAGAATTGACAAAGTGAATGGCTTGGAAAAAAAGCCAAGAATTCCAGTCCTCTCCCCTACGTGACATCAGAAATTCCAAGCGGCTAGGAAACAACGCTGTAAAATGAAAAAGCAGCAGATCACAAAAAAGCAGTCCTTAGGGTACCATGTCCTGATCATCAACCTATCTGCTGAAATCTAGGTGTGGTATAACATGTGATCAAGAGCATGGATCAGGGAGCCAAAAGGCTTGAATGTAAACTCCAACTGCTCGACTCACAAGTGCTGTGACCCTTAACAAGGTGTGTTAATTTTCCTGTGCCTTATCTTCCTCATCTGCAAAATGGAGATAACACTACATATCTCATTAGGGGTTTATAAAGACTAGTTAATATAGTATAAAATGTTGACAACAGTGCTATATAAATGTTCTGCATTTTCCTTGACATGCAGAAGAAAAAAGGAAGAAAAGACCCCAGACCACTCTGTAGAATCAGTGAGCTGAGTAACAAAAAACAGCCTAAAAGTCACGTGGGTAGGCTAAAAATGTTTCATATGCCTACACACCCAGAGTTTGAGTAGTCATGGAAATTTATTAGGGTACCATCAGTCTCCGTGCACAAGCTTTGTTGGTTAATGACACCAAACTATTATAGATGACAGCCAAGGCGAAGTTAGAACATTCTTTAAGATAGCAGAATCCAATTTGACAATAAGCTCCAGGTCAGGTGAAATATCACCTGGACCTCTAACAAACATCACAACTACTTACTAGAAAGTCACTTATTCACCATATTCATTGTCTTGATAGAATCACTAGGTAAGTTACCTCAGTGGTACCAGTTGGCCCATAATAACTGCAATTCTGCCTCCAACCTAAGCAGGGCCTTTGGAGGTTAAATGACCAGGAAGCTCAAGTATAGAAGAATAGAAACCACAAAGAAAAGTGAAAAGAAATGCTAACATTAATATGTAAATCATAACATTGCATGTCCAATTCTAAAGGTTGCTGCTTTGTTCTAGACCAGGGGTCGGCAAACTGCAGCTCGCGAGCCACATGCGGCTCTGTGGGTACGTACATGTGGCTCTGAAGTAAAATTGAAAATGAAAATAAAACTATCAGTTTCATTTATACAAATTTTAAAGGGTATTATTCACATAATGGTGATTTCATTTGTTTTATGGATCTCAAATAATTTTTCAACTGTTGTGAGGGACAGGATTGGCTCTTCCATCTCAAAAGTTTGCTGACCCCTGTTCCAGACCATGCTCCTACATATATACGGACCAACTCAAATGCAATCACGGATGGGTGGTTTGTTTTAGGGACAAAAAAGTCAAAGCAGAATAGGAAGAGGAGACATATGATCAAGAACAGTAGCTGCAGGGCCAGCTGAGTGGCACATTGGTTAAGAGGTGGCTTAGGACACCAGCTCTGAGCAGCAGGGCCCCGGCTCGGATCCCACATGGGGGCCAGTGACACTGCCCTCTACAGCTAAGATGGTGAACAACAGCTCGACCAGAAGCTGGGCTGCCGTGAGTCGCAGGCGTTTATGTAGGCTGCAGCCCCTGCTGCAGTGGGCTGCCATAAGCTACCGTGTGCGGCTGGCAGCCAGTGTGAGCGGCTGGCAGCTGGTGTGAGCTGCCAAGAGCCGCTGTGAGCCGTCCAGAGGCTGGCGACCGATCTGCCTCACCCGGGAAGAGCGCAATGATAATACCAACATGGGCCAGTGAAGTGACACCCTCCACAACTAGACTGAAGAACAAAAGGACAGCAACTTGTCTGTTCTCCTTCCCCCGATTCCCAAGCGCTGTTCCCCTCCCCCAATTCCCCAATAAAATCTTTTAAAAAAAAAAGAACAGTAGCTGCAGATAAAAACCAAAGGTCCGATTTCACATCCTGGGCAGTGTTTATACTTCTGTCTTAGTTATGTTTACATGTGAAGGTGATCTTGTAGTCAATAGTATCTGAAATTTACTGAGCAACTGAATAAGTGTATTAAGTACAAAATAAAACTTTTATACTCATTATCCTTTTCAATCTCCCCAACAACCTTATGAATTAAGTATTATCTCCTTTTTAAGATGAGAAAGTTGAGGTTTAAGAGATTATTTTGTCCAAGGTCACATCCAAGAAGAACAAGATCTAGGATTTGAACACAAGCTTATCTGACACCAAAGTATATATGGTATGGACTACTCTTTACCACCAAAAGATACACAAGAAATACATTCTCCAGGATGGGGAGGTTGAAAATGAATAGGTCAGAGGATACTTTGTGCTGAGCTTCACAGATAGACTTAAGATAAAAATCTAAGGCCTTGTATTAGTTTTTAGAATAGCGAACTTATAGATTTAACCCCTAAGTTGTACGTTACTTTCTAATTTACCTTTAATTATAATCCAGAGAGACAGGCACCTCTTTGTGACTAATTCCATCCCTATTAACCAAAAGAGATCAGTATGTGCAAATCTGAGGAAAAACGCCAGAGCAATTTAAAAGCACAAACAACAAAAAGCTGTGTTTTATCAAAGATTTCAAAAAGGACATACAGATTGATCTACATATATGTATAACACACACACACACACACACACACACACACACATACACACACCCTATTAAAAAAGGAAAGTAAGGGCCGGCCGAGTGGCTCAGTTGGTTAAGAGCTCGCTCAGACTTTGAGCTCTGAGCAACAGCGGTTCGAGTCCAACCTGAGCTGAGCAGCCGCTGAGCTGCCAACAGGTAGCAGGATGGCTCAGCTTAAAAAAAAAAAAAAAAGGAAAGTAATAACCAGGTTTGAGGGGGTAGACTGCAGGGGTGAGTTTAGAGAGGGCAAGCTTAATAAGCCTAAAGGAGGTGAATGAAAGTCTAAAGCAAAATTATAAAGATGTCTAGAGAAAGATACTAACTAAACCTTGAGTGAAAAATCAGACATTAGAACTCAGAAAGAAAACAGGATTTTGCAGTAATGAAAATGAGGAATGTGTATCTCACCTTATGCAAATATGAAAACAGATTCACATAATAAACTGGTTATTACTCATGTCCCAAAAGATTCCATACAGTACAAAATAGCACAATACACTAGTATTTTTAAATAGCAAGTTCCCTTATGATTCACATTAATCCAATTGAAAACTTAATTCATATATCTTTTAAATCTCTGCACTTGAGAATACAAATGTTAGTTAGTTGCAATTCTCAAGGTAACTTGTTCAAGTGGCCTATATTCATAAGGAACACAGAGGAGATCTGGAGGTGAAAAGATGAAAGAAAAAGGAGGAAGTGGAAATAGAAATAGATGGAAGCTGAAAGTCAAAGGTAAAATACAAGGTCATTAAAAGAAGTAAAAAAAAAGGAGAAATAAAATCTTAATTATTCAGAAAAAACAGGTACTGATGGTATTAATCTCACACCACATGGGGCATCTTTTCCAGCTCATTCCATTTTGCAGTGGTAGTAAATTCTTCCTCATTTAAGCCTTGGAGCTCATATAATGAAACAAAAATTTAATCACAAACTAAAAATAAGTATTCTAGAAGAAAAGCTTTAGCCCACAACTAAGAAAACAGCATTTTTAGAAGCAGAAGAATGATGCAGGATTACAGTATATAAATTATGCAGCTAGGTGGGGCATTTGTGCCATACCTGTTGAGATTGGAGTTCTTAGAACAAACCAGTAGAGGCAATAACAGATCAAATTGCTATAGGAGAACCATCCATGGCCAAGAAAGCTAACAATTCAGAAAAATGATAAAATGGCTCAACTTGAGCTGTCTAGTCCCAAGCTATCTGGAATTGTTAGGTACTAGCCATTTTTGAAAAAGCTACAGTAGAGGGAGGGGGCTCAGTCCTAACTTCAAATATTTGCATCCCAAACTTGTGTTACTTTCAAAACGGAGTGCAGAAGCTTCATTCCATCCTTCATAGTCGTTTGCAAAGACAGCCCAAATTTCTGCAGCAACCCTATACAAAAGATTTTCCCAGAATACCTGGGGATACAAAGGGTTTTCTTCAGAACACTCCTTCATGAGGCATAAATTAGAAATGGCTAGTTCCATTACGCCAACCCTCCCCATGCTCCTCCGACGCACTGGTGAGCTCATAATCTACCCTCACAACACACCCAGGGCCTGACCGTGCCTGACTTCCGGGAATCAGAACATCGGCCCCCTCATGTGGACCTCACTTTCTCAGCTCTTTCTGTCCCTAGTGGTCTTGTATTCGTCGTGCTGTAATCTCTTTCCAGACAATATGACCATTCCCATTTCACCTCCTGTCCCTTTAAATGGCTTCTTACAGAAATCATTTATGTGGGCAAAAATTCTTATTGGGCCATAATATTGGACAATCTTATTACTTAACAGCCACATTTCATGTAGTAACTAGTACTCAATCCTCAGAGTCCTGCAATGAACTCCCTTTTTATTTCCCAATCACTCCCTTTTAACAATCAAATCTTTATACAGCCGATTCTTCTACAGGGGCCCTATTACACTTCAAGAGGAACAGTACAGACAACACTAAGTCAAATAGGATGCTACTCTACTTCTCAGGAGGGCCTAAAATCTAACCATTCTCCTTCTCATAAATCCTCACTCTAACAGAAACAGTAAACCATCTACTTTATTTTAAATATCAAATGTCACATTGCTAAAAAGGTAAAATCTAGCAAATTTTACTTCTAGGAATATATCTTAGAGATACATGCAAAAAATTATGAAGACATAGGTTCAAATGAAGACCTAAATGGCATCCACAGGGAATGACCGTTTTTTAAAAATGATGTAGAACTATACATTTTAATATAGAAAGATGGTCAAGATATGTTAAATACAAAAAGCAAATTGTAGATCATCAGTGTTACATGAGCCCACTATTTGTGTGTGTGTGTGTGTGTGTGTGTGTGTGTGTGTGAACGAGCGAGAGACAGAGACAGGCAGACAGATATGGGAAACTTTTTTGCAATAATTACCTCTTGAATTGGACTAGGAGGTAAGTAGATATAGTAATACCCTTCTTTATTGTTTATCACTGTGTATTTTCATAATGAAAAAGCTGGCTTTGAATTTTCATTTAATTAAAAGGATCAGTAGTGAACAGATACAATTTTTAAAGCAAGCTGAATAATCACAATGTTCTATCACTACACCCATTCTTACCAATTATATAGCACTGGCACTATAAATATTTTTTAGAGCTAAAGAAAGCCTAAGAGATTTTCTGGTTAAAGATCTGTGATTACAAACTCGTATAAATTCATTTCTATAAATTTGAAGACTACTTGAAAAAAAACAACCCCAACTCCAAATAAAAATTAGTAAGTGTAGGGCCGGCCGAGTGGCTCAGTTGGTTAAGAGCTCGCTCAAGAGTTTGAGCTCTGAGCAACGGCGGTTCGAGTCCAGCCCGAGCTGAGCAGCCGCTGAGCTGCCAATAGGTAGCAGGATGGCTCAGCTAAAAAAAAAAAAAAAAAAAAAAAAAATTAGTAAGTGTAAATATATTAATAGAATTCTATTAATTCTATTAATAGAATTTGCAATCAACAAGAGTCACAGATTCAGATTTAGAAGGGACCTTAAAAGTCATGTAGTCCAACCCTCCCAGTTTAACATTCAGACAGAATAAGAAAAAAAAAAAAAAGGAGCCTGTTGAGGAGAGAGCTGGATTTCCCTGAAGATGAGAACCAGTCCTAGTATAATAACTAGAAATGTCCCCCTAAAACAGGGACATCTGGTAATCATTGACTATAAAAATATTTTGACCTAATATGTCAAGTTGCCCAGGTTAGTTTTAAACAAGCTATTTGACTTAATTTTCCAGTTTCAAAGTCTTCAATTTGTTTGCAACCAAAAGAAATCAGACCATGTTGCAGGTTGATTTTAATGAACAAAAATCTCTGTATAAAAACATTTAAACTTTATCAAATGCTTTAAAAACACACACACAGAGATCCAAATCCAATACATAATCTTTGAACATTATCTTTTTCACCTCAACATAATGTGTAATGGGATTTCTGGATAAAACTTTACATGTGAAAAAAGAAGACCATAGTCTTACACATGTATGTACACACACACACACACACACACACACACACACACACACACAAATCATTCTTTAAGGAAGAACAAAAATATATAGTAAGAATGCTAACGGGGTCGGTATGAATTTCTTGTAAAGCTTAAATAAGAGAACACTTCATGAGTAAAAGAACTTCCTATACCAAGAGCAGATGCAGAGAGGGGAAAGAGAAATCAGGGGTTAGCCTATCTCATTAATAAATAGTTTGAGAAGGTCATTCAAGAACAGTGAATTCTGGGAGTTACAGAAAATCCCTAGTTTTCACCACCTCGAATTCTGTGATCTGATGAATGATGATGCTTACAAAGCATCTATGTTTTCATCTTTTGTAGGCCTTGATTTGTGCATCATTATTTGAGTGTGGTTTGTCCCTTTCAGTGGTTGATTACTCAGTTCTCACTCAGTGTTGTGTCCTACTCACCAGAGGAGTCACAGTAAGAAATGACGGCAAGCACAGGGTACTGTAAAGGTGGCAGTAATGGATGGCGATTAATAAGAGCCAGGCTGCCTGGGTTTGGATTTCAGCATCATTACCTGCTAGCTGCCTGTTACTTAGCAAGCTACTTTACTACAGGTCTCCATTTCCTCTTCAATTAGGGATCATTATCACCTACTTCATATACGATTATTAAGAGGATTTATACAAGATAATCCATTTCAGGAATTTATCAAACTGCCTGGCACAAATAAATGCTCCAAAATGTGAGCTAAAATTACTGTTAGTCATAGAATTACAGGGGAACCAAAAGAAAAACTCTTTTTTATCTCTGTCTTTCTCCTCTTTGATGAGGTTTTCAGGGGCCAATTGTAGGTAAAAGCCAGTATGTCTAATGCAAAAGAGATTCAGGACCTAGTCTTATGAATATAGATGTTCAGTTTTATATTAGAAAAAAATTACATGGCTCCATATCATAAAATGTAACATCTTTCCATTAAACATCACACGATTCTCGTCATCATTATGCCCTACACACACCCCGAATGATGTGGAGTTTCTATGGAGATTCAACAACAACAGGGTCCAGAAATTTTAACTAAGAGATAGCTGCAGAAATGCATGTTGGGCAGTAATCTGTGGGTGTCACAAGAGCTTGGGCCACGACAGTTGGCTGGGATTCTGCCTCCATGGCCTGGACTCCCCTGGATAGGGTTCCTGCAGACCTTCAAATCTCCATTTGCGACCCCTTCAAGTGGGGAGTTTCCAAGAAGTGAAAGAAGCGGCAGCCACTGAGAATGAAATGCCTCACACCTACTTCAGTATAATATGATAGCTATCACTGGTTTCTGCTGTAAAACAAAAAGAGAGAGAAGATAATCTTTAGTCACCTTTGAAACAGAGTAAAAGGGGAAAAAATATGTTAAAGTTCCTTTGAGAAAGAAAAACAACAAAGCTGAGCAAACAGCAGCATACTTATTATCACAGAATACTCATAATAAATATGCATTATAAAAACAACACGCCTCGATTTCCTCTTGTCCACAGAAGGTGGAATAGAATGGCTGAGTCACCAGTTACACTTTGTCTATTCGGATAATAGCAGGAAGCCAATTCATACAAAGGGACAACCTCTAACAATGTCACTTTCTCTCCCTCAAATATGGTGGTTGAAACTTTGTCTCTCTCCTCTAAGGAGTATGAGAAAAGCTCTTAAACTCCTCAGAGAAAGGTATTTGTCTTACTATTTTATTACCTTTCATTGTGTCCAGAATAAAACAGGCTTCTTCCTGAAAGTTCTGTATCATCTGAAAAAAAACAAGAAAATTTGCTGATTATTAAAAACTTTGGCTTGTTATATTTATTTTCCCTATGTGGCTTTTTATTACATTAGATTTACGTGAAAAAACAATCCTTTGTTTGTTTTGTTTTCTCCCATTTCGTTTTCAAGTTTTAAAAGCAAGTGGTATAAAACAGTCATCTTAAAATTGGAGTATGCATTTTCCTGTGTTAACAAGCCTTTCTAAGAGGTACACAGACAATGACAGGCCCATATGTGAGAACTGACTTCTAGTTCTCCAACTTCCATAGTTACTCTTTCCTAAAACTGCCTGAGAACCAGTTTCAGTTTTCCTTTCCCACTTTCGCTTCTCAAACTCCCTTTTCCCACTTTATAAGATAAAGGTTTAAGTCTCAGCCTCCTAGAATCCTACCAAGATGCATTGCCCTGGGTATAAAAGCCTCCAGGATGCTACTGCAAATGTGAATTCCAATGACGGGATAACAAACTCATTGTGGCGGTCACATGGTTTCTAAGTCTTTCCTGTCACCAGGATTGAAGAGTGTTCTAATCACAAACTGTCAAATGATAGGTGATTCAAAATAGTTTTTCACAACATCACTATATAATTTTTTTTTTAAAGATTTTTATTGGGGAATTGGGGGATGGGAACAGTGCTGGGGAATTGGGGGAAGGGGAACAGACAAGTTGCTGTCGTTTTTGTTCTTCAGTTTAGTTGTGGAGGACGTTGCTTCACTGGCCCAAGTTGGCACCATCATTGCGCTCTTCCCGGGTGAGGCAGATCAGTCGCCGGCTTCTGGACGGCCGCTCACGCTGGCTGCTGGCTACACACGGTAGCCCATGGCAACCCACTGCAGCAGGGGCTGTAGCCTACACTGTCACGGGTGACAGAGCAGCCCAGCTCCAGGTTGAGATGTTGTTCAGCATCTTAGCTGTAGAGGGCAGTGTCACTGGCCCTCATATGTGGGATCCGAACCGAGGACTTCTGGCATCCCAAGCCAGCTCTTAACCATCACGCCACTCGGCCGGCCCTCACTATATAATTTTTGGCACATAACTCAGAAGTTAAAAAAAAAAAAATCCAGCAATGGCATTAGAACAAAACTCCATCCATTCCAGTCTATCACTGAATGTGAATCAGGTTCTGCACCACTTATATCTAGGAGAAAAAACAGAATGGAACTGATGCTGAACTCGATTTTATTCTAGAAATCAATAAGCAATAGTCATCCATAGGGTCAGCTTAGTGGCGTATTGGTTAAGAGTTGGCTTGGGACTCCAGCTCTGAGCAGCAGGACCCCAGTTCAGATCCCACATGAGGGCAAGTGACGCTGCGCCCTCTACAGCTGAGATGGTGAACAACAGCTCAACCTGGAGCTGGGCTGCTATGAGTCGCTGGCGATGGTGTAGGCTGCAGCCCCTGCTGCAGTGGGCTGCCATAAGCTACCTTGAGTGGCTGGCAGCCAGTGTGAGCTGCCATGAGCCGCTGTCAGTGGCCACCCAATGGCTGGCGAGCGACTGCCTCACCCGGGAAGAGCGCAATGATAATACCAACACGGGCCAACGAAGTGACGTCCTCCACAACTAGACTGAAGAACAAAAGGACAGCGCTTATCTGTTCCCCTTGCCCGATTCCCCAAAGCTGTTCCCCTCCCCCAACCCCGCAATAAAATCTTGGGGAAAAAAAAAGTCTATAGATGAATTGGTTGTGGGGGAGGGGATAAGGAATGGTGCAATCCCATCCATTTCATTAATAGATGTACTTCTAATACATTTTTTCCTTAATGTTTAATAATTAATTATCAAAACATGTAATACATTTATGCTGTTTTAATCCACTGTATAATTATGGTGCTAATTCTATTCAGAAGAAATAGTTTTTCAATTTTTACTAAAACAAATTTTTTTGCTGAAACAAATTTTTGTTTCAGAGAAATATAGTAAGATAAGAAATAAGAGATGTTCAAGCATAAAAATAGGTTATGGGGCCGGCCGAGTGACTCATTTGGTTAAGAGTTAGCTTAAGAGTGTGAGCTCTGAGCAACAGGGCCGCCAGTTTGATTCCCACATGGGCCAGCGATGCTGCGCCTGAGCTGAGCTGCCACTGAGCTGCCAACAAGTGGCAGGATGGCTCAGCTGGTGAGAGTATGTGCTATACTTAAAAAGAAGGTTGGAGGGCCGGCTGAGTGGAGCGTTGGTTAAGAGTTGGCTTGGGACGCCAACTCTGAGCAGCAGGGCCTTGGTTCAGATCCCACATGAGGGCCAGTGACGATGCGCCTTCTACAGCTAAGATGATGGACAACAGCTCAACCGGAAGCTGGGCTCCTGTGAGTCGCTGGCGAGGCGTAGGCTGCAGCCCCCGCTGCAGTGGGCTGCCATGAGCTACCATGAGTGGCTCACAGCCGGCATGAGCCGCCGTTAGCAGCCGTCCAATGGCTAGCAAGCAACTGCCTCAGCCAGGAAGAGCGCAATGATAATACCAAAATGGGCCAGTGAAGCGACATCCTCCACAACTAGACTGAAGAACAAAAGGACAGCAACTTGTCTGTTCCCCTTCCCCGATTCCCCAACGCTGTTCCCCTCCCCCAATAAAATCTTAAAAATAAATAAATAAATAAAAATACTTTTAGGAGGTAAGCAAGCAAAACTGTTTGAAAACCTCTGGTCTGGAAAACAGAGCACTGTGCCCTGCAGAATGGCTCTTGCCCCTGTCACATGCCCGACAAATTAATTGACATCTGGTGGTTTCACTGTACTGAAACCTACCTCATCGCTAATGAGCACATGGATGCCTGTTGGCCCCTGCTTGTAGATCTGGCTGATCTGGCAAGGGGAAATGCTGAAAAGCTGAGCAATTTTTTCTGTCAGTTCAACAGCTGTCAGTTCTTCTAGGTAGATGGCATGGTACACTGCAAAAGGGAGAGAGCAACAGCAGTCAGTACAAAGTTCACCTGCACTTACAGGTGACCTGGTCACTAGGAATGCCCACTTTTCTGAAGGACCCAAGAGTCAAATTCCAAGTTCAAATCCTGACTCCACTGCTTGACAATGTGTGATCTGGAGCAAGTGACTTCACATCCCTAAGCCTCATGTTCCTCATTGAAATGTTGGAGATAACAATAAAATCTACTGCAAAGAGGAGAAACTAGTTGTAAAAATTAAAACATATAAGAATAGTGCCTGGCATATATTAGGAACGCAATAAATGTTAGTTATTACTATTACTTATAGCAAATGCTAAATGTGTTCGATAAGCTCCCACCACACATGCTCATAAGTCATCTCTTCACCGTTTTTCACATCTGTGCTGGCCTGTCCAGAATGACCTACCGAAGAAAGTACCATTTGAGTCTCCATCCTCATGCTTCTGCTGCTGCTGCTGCTGTTGCTGCTGCTCCCGCAACTGCAAGGATTCCTGACAAACATAAATGGTTAGCCTTGGGCGCACCATCCTAAGGAGAAAAAAACAGCTGTTAGTCTTACATTTTTCATGGTAAGCACGTCTTAAGGGAGAACTTGGGTATTTACATTAATACTATAGAGCAGGGGTTGAAAACTGGCAGCCCATGGGCCAATGCAGCTCATTTGTGGTGTTTTATTAGCTCCCCCTTGGGGGCAGGAGGGGGTGTGCGCGCGCGTGAGTGTGTGTGTGTGTGTGTGTGTGTGTGTGTTTAACAGAAGGCATCATATAAACCTCTGAATTTTTGGCTTTTCTTGAAAAATCAGATCTGGCAATCCAAAGACTCATTCCACAAGAAAACAATCAGCTGCTCACCCTGCATGGTGCATGCGCTGTTCAGTACAACCCAGACTTGACTGTCATTCATTTACATGTGGCCCTGTAGTCATTAATGTTTGTGACCTTTGATATCAAGTTTAGAAATACAGATGTTCCTTGACTTATGGTGGGGTTACATCTCGATAAAGTTGAAAATATCATCAATTAAAAATGCATTTAAGGCGGGGCCAGCCGAGTGGCGCGATGGTTGGGAGCTGGCTTGGGACGCCAGAGGGCCCTGGTTCGGATCTCACGTATGAGGGCCGGTGACACTGCCCTCCACAGCTGAGATGCTGGACGGCAGCTCAAACTGGAGCTGGGCTGCCCTGAGTCGCCAGTGACGGCGTAGGCTGCAGCCCCTGCTGCAGTGGGTTGCCATGGGCTACGGTGTGTAGCCAGCAACCTGCATGAGCGGCCAGCAGCCGCAGTGAGCGGCCGTCCAGAAGGCGGCGACTGATCTGCCTCGCCTGGGAGGAGTGCAATGATGGTGCCAACTTGGGCCAGTGAAGCAACGTCCTCCACAACTAGACTAAAGAACAAAATGACAGCAACTTGCCCATCCCCCCAATTCCCCAATTAAAAAAAAAAATCTTTAAAAAAATGCATTTAAGGGCCAACCAAGTGGCGCATTGGTTAAGAACTGGCTTGGAACGCCAAAGGGCCCCAGTTCAGATCCCACATACGAAGGCCAGTAACACTGCCCTCTACAGCTAAGATGCTGAACAACAGCTCAACCTGGAGCTGGGCTGCCATGAGTCGCCAGCGATGGCATGTGGGTTGCCATGGGCTACTGTGTGTAGCCAGCAGCCAGCATGAGCGGCCAGTAGCCGCCGTGAGCGGCCCTCCAGAAGCCGGCGACTGATCTGCCTCGCCCAGGAAGAGCGCAATGATCACAATACCAACATGGGCCAGTGAAGCAACATCTTCCACAACTAGACTGAAGAACAAAAGGACAGCAACTTGTCTGTTTCCCTCCCTCAATTCCCCAACACTGTTCCCTCCCCCAATTCCCCAATAAAATCTTTAAAAAATATATGCATTTAATACACCTAGCCTACCTTAAACATGCTCACATTAGCCTACAGTTGGGCAAAATCATCTCAGGGCCGCTGCCCAGCATCATGAGAGTATCGTACTGCTTATCACTAGAGCCCAGGGAAAAGATCAAAATTTACAATTCAGTATGGTTTCCACTAAATGCGTATCATTTTCACATCCTTGTAAAGTCGAAAAATCTTAAGTCAATCCATCATAAGTCAGGAACCATCATCTGTATTCAAAATGTGTGAACCACTGTTTTATGGGTCAAGTTCAAGATATAGCTTTTATTTGAAAGGGCCAATATAGTAAACCGGAGAACCTCATTTCTCTCATTACCTTCTCCTAAATAGCCTAGGCCTTCTTTCTGTTCTTATTTCTTAGATAACCATATTCAATTACCCCTTGATCTGATCATCTTATTCCTTCCTATTTCTAAATGCTCTTTAGATAATACATTTAAAAAGAAAAGATCCATTCTTTTCCCTCAAGTCATTGACACTTGAATTTCACCTCTTTCCTTAAAATTTTCCAAGATTACAGCCAACCTGAGTTAATATTCCTTGAGACGTACAGAAATACTTCACAACCTGTTTCATTATTTAGTCACTGATTTGGTTCTAAGGCATTGACCTGTTTCTTTTTTCCATCAATATTACCAGTACCTATTGGAAATTGGAAATCACAAACTGAGACTAAAAATTACTCTGTATTATAAGTAATATTTGTAAGCAGCCACTTACACAATTTCTATCCAAACTTAAGAATGACCTCTTCTCTAGCTAACGGTGACTTCAGGGCCTTTACACCTGTTGTCCCTTCTCTCCTAAGACCCCATAGCTTTCATTCTTCTCATAGCTCAGTTTAAATATCCCCTCTTCAGAGAGGTCTTTCCTGACGAAATTCTGGGTATTCTATAGGCCACAACCTTATTTTTGTTTGTTTTCCTTCAAAGCATTTATCTCTATCCAAAATATTTATTATTTGTATCTTTATCTCTCTCCCCATTAAAAAGTAAACTCCATGATAATGGTTTCCCTGTTTTGCTCACTAAATGTATCTCCAGAGCCCAATGGCTTCTAATAGGGACAATGAATATTTCTGAATGAAAAAACTACCTGAAAATGAAAAATGTAATACCGTGAGGAATGCCTTCAATCAAGTGTGGGAAAGGATATTTTTCATCTTTGTTTATGTGGAACATAGCTGGCATGCAATAAGAATGTTCTGATGAGCTGTATTTAGCTACACAAAGAGTACTGTGAAGTCCCTGAATCCAAATCCATCTGAAATCCAATCTCACTGATATTTTAACACTAATTACATACCGGCCTTTTAATGCATTAAAAAGTCGGATTCCATCTGCAGGGCCACAGATTTGGATCACATCATCTCTAGTTAGTTTCAATAAATCTGCCCCTGAAATAAATATAAGAAAATGGTGATAGAGGCAACGATTCTTTGTTTATGACTATTAAAATGGGCTCTGTTGCAATGACACCTCATTACTAACTAGTATGTTATAACCCATAATTTTTTCCATGGTATATAAGGGTCTCCATGACCTGGCCTCCGCTTCCTCTCCCACCTCAATTCCAGCTCAATTAACTTCTCTACTTAACCCTATGCTTTCATTATACTGATGATGTCTAAGGAGCAGGCTGTTCCTCCTGCCTGAAATACCCTTCCACTGTCTGACCAACAGATGCCTCTGCGTCCCTCATGCGTCATGCGTTCCCTAACCTCAGGGCCTTCCCCCAAACACCTCACTTTTGTATCTACTTAATCACAACTACTTGTTTACCTTTTTTCTGGGGTTTTATTTTTGATTTGTTTTTTTTCTGATACTAGATGATAAATGATCAGGAAGTACGCCTTATCCATTTGTGTATTCCTACCATACATGGTACACTGAAGGTGTTAAATAAAAGTGAAATGTGTAAGTAAAATACAATATAGCGATATAAAGGGGAAAATTTCAGACTACCTGCAAATGCTCCTTGATAAAGTACTATATAGAATATACATTTTTAAGTATTATAAAGAATATTTTAAAATTTAAATGAGTTTAAGAGGCCTTTCTTTTTAAGCATTTCACAGCACAACTGTAGCTGGTGAGAAAGTCTAAAGGGTTCTATGAAATTCATTTAATTAGTAAGATATTCTCTCTCTATCTCTCTCTCTCTCTCTCTCTCTCTCTCTCTCTCTCTCTCTCTCTCTCTCTCACACACACACACACACACACACACACACACACACACAAAACCTCACATGGATACCAGGAGGACCTAGAAAGTAAAAGAATATCCCACGCTGGGGAAAACAAAAGACAAGCAAATTTAACCTGAGAAGTTTGTAAAAAGCCTTGTGAATGTAGAAAAACGGTTTCGATGCAACCACTGCTGAGCTTCCTGAGGTGTGGTTGTTGGCAAGAGGTTCTGAAAGAGAGAAAGCATTTTGTTGGTAACTAAACAGATTCAACTTAAAAAAGGTAAATGTTAACATCATTAGGTAACACATAACCAAACACACCCACACTCAGACAGGCCTAGTTTGCTTGGGAGTTGTTTATACATCAGTCTTCTTTCTCTAACCATGCAAGGTGCCCGTGGAATGCCATCCTTATCTTCCCCACTAGACTGTAAGTTCCTTAAATACAAGGGTCCTGTGTTACCTGGTCACAGTCAAAATTTAATAAATGTTTGCTTAATGATTAAATGAATACTCCTTAAAAGCTGGGCATTTCTACTGAATTGCACAGTCATCAAAATATTATTAGACATTACAAATAACTGACATTTAACTTTAGACTTACATCTGTTACTGGAGGGGGCGGCTCTGGCTGGTGGTTTGGTGAACCATTTCTAAAGAAACATTTATAATGAAAGGATGAGTCCATGGTACATACTAGGGTTCATTATCTCATTCTTCATCCTCATAAAAAGCCCTAAGCTAGAAATTTAAAGGAATCTGTGCTTTCTCATAAAACACTCTTACTCTTAGACCCAATACTTCTACTGTCTGTTAATTTAATGTAAAGACTTTTTTTGGGGGGCTGGGGGGTAAGGAAGAGAAACTGTCATTTAGAACATTTTTTATTATTGTTTAAATTGAAAATAAAATCAAGATTCCAATAAGTTGGGACTGATTAGATAAATTGTGGCATAAAGACTGTTTAAAATAAATTTAATAGAATGTAAACAAAATATCAGAATATAAAAGTAGTATATTATTACCACATTAAATATATAAATGTACAAACATATACAATAAAAAATTGGAATAAAATTTATGTAATGCAATGTGATCACATGCTTTTTATAATAATAAACACAATTATTTTTAAAGGAACTTAAAAAATCAGTGCTATCTAATTTGTAACCCAAGGGCTATCTCCACACCATTGGTCTTTCTCTGTACTTCCTTTTGCTTTATAGATTCTCCCTCTTCCCTAATGTTTACTTCTTTTATGGAAGAAAATTTGAGCCTAATAATGAAGTACATGACAAAGATAAGAGGGTGGGGGGGAGAATGAACTCCTAAATCCTATATAATATGTAAAATTGCTTAAGTAGTCTGAATAACCCATATGGGTGGTAAACCATTTTTCTTTCAAAAAAGATCTTTTTCTTCTTTTCTTTGGGCCTTAGTTGCAAAATTCAAATTCAGTATTCAAATTGAGTGATGAACTAATCTCAGGGCCCTAGTTATCTACTCTTTCTACCACTTCTACCTATTTTTAGTCTTAACTGTTACATTTTGAATATTTAAGCTACCTTAGTTAAATACTTTCAGAAGTAGATTGAATATAGAGCCTGAAATATAGAGCCTAAATTAATTCAAAAATAAACATTACAACCAAACAATATACTTACACATTTAATAGCCTATTTGAAATTTCAATATGGCCTATGTAGAATATGTGCTAAATGCTAGGATTATAAGACCTTTTTTTAACTGGAATAGGTGTCTGTACCAACTTTCAATGATCTCTGATAGTAAAAAGATAATAAGGCAGGATTAAATGCACCCCAAAGATAATATCAAAACTTTATTTTAGCTATCATCTTCAACCTTCTTCTACCAATTAGCAAAAGATTCATGATAATTAGGTTTTAGGAACCTTCTTAACAAGTAGCAAAATAGGTATTCGTGTTTGTACAACTGTGTTTCAATTCCCAATGATCACGCGCTGGTGCAAGTACGATTAGGAAGTGAACCCACCACAAGCAAGCAGCAATAAGGAGACGTGAAAAGCCCAGGAAGTCAGTCCCCAACTCACTAAAAAACTGACCACGAATGTGATTTTCGAATGGGAGGAAGAAGAAGAGAAAGGGCTATAGAAAACGCTTTCAGTCTATTTTGAAGGTAATCCAAACCTCAGTTACTATATAAATCCATCATCAAAGACTGACCAAATAGAAGTAAGTATGGATTTGGAAAGATCTCGTTTATAAAAAGATAATGAAAAAAATACACATTTTGGACAAACACAAGCCCATTTCATTTCCCAGACTTACCCTTCCCCAAGAGAAAAACTGCTATGGGAACTGTTGAAGCCAGGTGACGGGGAATTATTGACATACGTGATTTCGGGCCATGGAGAACACTAAAAACAAAAGACAACTCAGGTACTGAAAAGTACATTTGACCCTAGTGTTGCACCAAAATACTGTTACTTGAATAGCACATCTTGATTAGCAAAAGTAAATCGTAATTCCTCAGAGGCCCCCATAACTAAGAGGACAAATAAGTTTTGACCAGGCGGGAAGTGATTTATTTTTAATTGAGATATAAATGACATATAACATTGTATTAGTTTCAGGTAAATTATAACATAATGATTTTATGTGTGTGTATATATATATATATACACACATACACACACACACACACACACACACACACACACACACTACAAAATAATTGGATTTTTCTTAAGAGTAAAAAGTACTGACTGAAATTGTCACCAAAAGAAAACCTTTTACCTCTGTGAGTATAGTTGTCTCATAGGACGGTTGATATTTCTCCTTTTCATGAGGTGTTCGTTTCTCCATTTTCTCCCTATCTGTTTTTTGCTTTCTATCTGCACCTTTGGGCTGAAATGAGAAATGCTTTGTTTTAAACTCAAGTACTCATCTTCGACCCAACAATATTACTTCTAAAAACTTAAATAGTCACATGTGAAACAAAGATGTATGTACAGTGATGTAAAGACAAGATGCATCATTGCATATAAGTCTGAAAATAGGAAATTTAAAAGTTTGATGGAGTTGAAAAAAAATAAGAGCTCTACTGCTACGGACATGGAAAGATCTCTAAAGCACACAGTTAACTGAAAGAAGCAAGCCTCAAAACAGTTCATCCAGTATAATCCCATTTATGTTTGAAAGAAACTATATGTATACCTATGTACATGTGTATATTAAAGCACAGAAGGGGACCAGAGGATACATACTAAATTCTAACGGTGGTTACCTCTGGGGAGAGGTTGGGGAGTCAGGGTAACAGTGGTAAAGGAGGACTTCAGTGTCGTTCTCTGAATAGTTTTGTATTAATGAATCTTTTGCAATGAGAACATATTTATCCATGTGATAAAAACAAAGACCAAAATAAGGAAAGAAGATCAAGTACAAGTGTAACCAAAACTGTCAACTTTTCATAATTTTTGTGAGCTTTTATAAAAGCTTGTAAGTTCAACAGGCTTTAAGAACATTCAAAGAAAATTCATGTTTTTGCTTCTAGCTCTCTTTTCCAAGTTCCTCTTCTCCCATGCCCATCCCCATTTAAATTTCTTTACCAGGCATCTCTAACTATTTCGATGATGCTAGCTAACTTAGGCTGAGTTTTCATAGCTTTTGAAAAGAGACACGTTGGTTTTCTGACTTGGTGACTAACGTTACAACTGAAAGATGAGGAGGAAAGCTCCAAGGGCCAGCACAATACCCGGGAATACCTTGAAGACTTTGATCTGGCAGCTGGCTGAGTGTAAGTGCTCGGTATATTCCCCATTCTCATTCTCCTTGAAGGTATCGATTTGTACTCGGAACGGCACTCCCTTTTCTCCGCCGTGTTTCCTCATGGTGAACTCTGTGCTAATACAGTGCACCTGAAGAGAATACAACACCCAGCTTTCAGTACCGCCTGAAAGCCAAACCAGTCAACATTTGTTAAGCAACTAACAGCAAAACTTTTAAAAAGCATTATGAACACCTACAAAAAATTTTGACTCTCTTTTTGATCTTGAAGGATTTATACTCTAAAGGAGCAAATGAGGAAAACTTAAACGATTTACAAATGGAGACCAAAGCTACTATAAGGAATTAAACTCATTAACTGCTTCAGAGAATATAGAGTTAATAAGAAAGAGAAATGATTTCCATTAGTAAAAGTTTCCTGGACTTTTAGGCTGATTTAGAAAGCAGAGGCACAATCCATCCTGGGAAAATGGTAAATATGAAAGCTCACAGACAATACAGGAAAAAAGGTTTGCTTGGCTACTGCATAGAGTCTAAGACTTTCCTGAATCGAATGGTGGAATCGACCAAATTCTAGCTTGGGTAAGTTATTAACTTCTCTAAATTTCAAGGACTAGTCTTACTCCACAGGATTATTGTTGAGAATCTTAAATAAAATCATGTACACAAAGTGTTTACTTAACACAGTGACTATCTCATGGGACATACGCAATAAACTATTAGCTATCATTATGACAAATAAAAATTTTCAAGGAATCTACCCAAAGGACATAATCAGATATGCGAATCAAATTTTAAGTATAAAGATGTTCAAATTAACTTTATGGATAACAGTGAAAAATTCAGACAATCTCAATGCTAAATAATTGTTAGGAAAGGTATGTTACACATGGAATAAAATATTATGCAGCCATTAGCAAGCATTTTGGAAAGAAACAAATAAATAAATTGGGGAAATTAGGAAGAGCAATTCAGAAACTCCTCATTGCTTTCAGGCAAATGTTGAGGAGTCTGCACTGGATAGCTAGGCTGGTACCTCGTAAAGATTTCCAATTCAACATGTTTTAATCCTTTAAGAAACAAACTGGTAGTAAGAGATACTCTTCATAATTAGAACCCCATCTGCAATGCCTTACCTGAATAAACACAGATGTCCTCTTTGCAGGGTCCCACAGGAACTCCACTGTATTTAGTTGGTTTGGATTAGCCCTAGGATCGATTATACCCACAGACATTGGGATATCTGAGAAACAAATGGTAATCATTGAACAACTCTGAGCACTACTGGGTTTAAATAAGAAAGCACTGGTTATTATACAGGTATTATGGTCCCTAGTTATCAACATTTTCATGTAAACCTCTTCTTGCCAGTGAAAAGGCTTTGAATAGAGCTAAAACTGACCTAAGTTCTTTGACTAAGTATCCTTCTCCCACTTTAACAACTTTTAAAAATAAGACAATTTAAAAGCCACTTGCTTTTAATTTGCCAAAATTCTATTTAAAGACAGATTTAGTATACACACACTAGCTCTAGTGTCATGAAAATTGTAACTTATAATCTGCTTCATTTATAGTTTTAAGATTAGCATTACTGCTAGAAATACACCAAGAACATTGCTATACAAAGATAAAGCAGTGTCTGAATAAAGGCAGAAGGCATCATAGCACTGATAGAAGTGGGAAAAATTTAACGTAAAGATCGATGTGGACTTATGAAGTCACCAAATAATCCTGTAATACAGTGACACATCTTATATTCAAGAGGTAAGCAAAAATGAACAGGCTGTAGTAGAACTTTGCTTTCCACTCCATATAGCATACACTCAAATATCATTCCCTGATTTCTCTGATTACTATTCAAACTAGGAGATAAGGCCAGGCTGATATTTACTGTCATAGTTGTGTTATAACTATATTACTTTTAGTATCAATGATTTAAACAAGAAAGCATCAAGTGGGTCCCACTCCAGTGTTAGTGGTGTTGGATTCATCCTAACCAGTTTATCAAATGGATATCAGGGCATCTGTATGAGAACCAGTGTTTTCTCAGGTAAAACTGGTAGTACTTAGATTTGTTTAACTATGTTTACCAATAGGAGGTAATAACCAATAAGAGATGAAAGACACAGATGCTGGGATTAAAAGTACACTGATGAAGAGACTGTATGTGTGTTTGTAAAGATCCTTCCCTATGTCCCACAATTTAAAAAAAATATTCTACTCTGTGTAGCAAAGCAGGAAAACCTGAACTGCGAACCAAGAGACAGATTCTAATCCCAGGTCTCTGACTTGAGGTGAAACAAATTACTAACCTAGCTCTCAGAGATTAGTAAAATAAAAGAACTTGCAGAACTAAGATTAAACACGGCACCTTGAGCTGAGCCGCCGCAAGCTGCCCATGGCCAGCCAGACGGTGACTAGACTTGGAGCTGAACTTGCTGCACCCTCCACAACTAAGATTGAAGGCCAACAACTTGGCTGTTCCCCTTCTCCAATTCCCCAACACTGTTCCCCTCCCCCAATTCCCCAATTTAAAAACAACAACAAAAGAACTTGCAGCATTTAGGGGAAAAACCTGGCCCCTTTTACATACTACTACAAACAAAACATCAGATCCTGAATAGCCAAAACAATCTTGAAAAATAATAAAATTGCAGGTCTCATACTTCCTGACTTCAAAACTTATTACAAAGTTACAGTTATCAAAACACTGTGGTGTAGCATAAAGATGGACAAATGGAACAGAAAGCCCAGAAACAAACCTGCACACACATGGTAAAATGATTTTAAGACAAGGTGCCAAGACCATTCAATGGGAAAGGATAGTCTTTTCAACAAAAGGCATTAGGAAAATTAGATATCCACATGCAAGGAATGAATTTGGACCCTTACTTTACATCATATTCAAAAATTAACTGAACACCTAACATAAGACATAAAACTATAAAATTCTTAGAAAACATACCAGAAAAAGCTTAATGACAGATTTTGCAATGATTTCTTAGATATAAAAACAAAAGCACAGGCAATTTTAAAAAATAGATATATTGGTCATCAAAATTTAAAACTTTTGTGCATCAAAGGACACTATCAACACAATGAAAATACAACCCACACAGAAGGGGAGAAAATATTGCAAATCATATATCTGATATGGGGTTAACATCTAACATCCAGGAAAAAAAAAATCTCCTACAATTCAACAACAACAAAACAACCAGATTAAAAAATGGGCAAAAGACTTGAACACACATTTCTCCATCAGCCAATATGAAAAGGTGCCTGACATCACTAATCATTAGAAAAATGTAAATTAAAACCACAGTGAGATACCACTTCGTATCTATTAGGATGGCTACCATCGAGAGAGAGAGAGAGAGAGAGAGAGAGAGAGAGAAGGAAGAAAGGAGGGAAGGAAGGAGAGAGAGAGGGAGGGAGGGAAGGAGGAAGGATGGAAGGAAGGAAATTAACAAGTGTTGGTGAGGAGACAGATTAATTAGAGCCCTGTGCAATTCTGACAGGAACATAAAATGTGCAGTCGCTGTGAAATACAATACGGTAGTTTCTCAAGAAATTAAAAACAGAATTACCATATAATCTAGCAATTCCACTTCTGGGTACGTACCCAAAAGAACTGAAAGCAGAGACTGAAGTAAGTATTTGTACACCCATGGTCATAGTAGCATTATTCACAAAAGCCAAAAGATGGAATGAACCCAACTGTCTGCTGAGGGATGAATGGATAAATAAAATGTGGCATCTATACACAATGGAATATTATCAGCCATAAAAAGGAAGGAAATTCTGAAACTACATGGATGAACCTTGAGGATTATGCTAAGTGAAATAAGCCAATCACAAAAAAGACAAATATTGGATAATTTCACTTATTAAAAATGATTAAAATAGCAAATTTTGTTATATGTATTTTATTACAACTAAATTAAAAAAACAAAATCACCCTGAAGTAATGGATGCAACTGTTATAGAACTGAAGTGTCTACACTTCCAAATTTAATTTTGATATCATCATACCAATAATTTTTTTTTTTTTTTAAGATTTTTATTGGGGAATTGCAGGTATGGGAACAGTGCTGGGGAATTGGGGGAAGGGGAACAGACAAGTTGCTGTCCTTTTGTTCTTCAGTCTAGTTGTGGAGGACGTTGCTTCACTGGCCCAAGTTGGCACCATCATTGTGCTCTTCCCGGTGAGGCAGATCAGTCGCCGGCTTCTGGATGGCCGCTCACTGCGGCTGCTGGCCACTCACGCTGGCTGCTGGCTACATACGGTAGCCCATGGCAACCCACTGCCACAGGGGCTGCAGCCTACACCGTCGCCGGCAACTCACGGCAGCCCAGCTCCAGGTTGAGCTGTTGTTCAGCATCTTAGCTGTGGAGGGCAGTGTCACTGGCCCTCATATGTGGGATCCGAACCGGGGCCCTCTGGCATCCCAAGCCAGTTCTTAACCATCGCGCCACTCGGCCGGCCCCATACCAATAATTTTTTAGGCTTAGTCAATAACCAAGTCCAAGTTCATGCTAATTGAGCCCCTGAAGCATTCTGAATCATAGTAAACATCAAGTACATAAAACCAATTCTCAGATCATAGTTATAGGCATTTTCTGGGCAATAGATTCTAACTCACCTATGTCAAGAATTCTATCTCCAGGTCGGTTCCACCTCCAGCCCTCCAGCTGCTGGTGTTCAGTGTATTGTAGTCGCCTGTCGTGAAACACTACACGGAATATACTCTAAAAGGAAGCAAGAAAATCAAATGATCATAGGATCCCTGAAAAATCCCACAAAGGAAAATTTGCAGGAGTCACACAGTTTCTAGACACAACCTAAAATTATTTTTAAGACCTGTTTCACTCTAAAACTCACACCATACCAAACTATTTCATAGTGAATTTTATAATTGCTCAGATATAATCTTTACAGTTAACTGGTACCATATTTAAAACTTGGCGTAAACATCAGTCCTGATGGTAACTGGGTACAAAGGACTCCTATCAGAAGCATTTCTGCGTGCCTCTATTGTTACCATGTAATATTTGGCTTGGCTCTTCCATTGTATATGAAAATCTCATCAAGTCCCCTGCTTGCTAACCCACCATACAAACTGTAAACACTGAGAGTAGGTAGGGGCTGTTTCCATCAACTTTCCTTTTGTTACTCTTACTTTGTGGAGGTGCCTATTAATATCCTCCTTACCACCTTTTACAGCTGCTGACCAAACTTCTCTGTCCCAAATGTGAATTCATACTGTCAGCCTACACTAAGAAAACCGATATTCATCAATAGTAGCTTCTGTTTCCCTTGCTACTAGACCAAGTATCCAAAGAGACACTAGAGCTTCTCTAAAGATCTCAAGGAGAGTACTTTATTCTACTCGAAAAGAGTAGAACTTCATGGAGCCAGGAGACCACCATGAGATGGAGTGGTAAGCCTTGCTTCTTGCAGCTGTGAAAATCCATGTGAATAGGGGGGTTCACTCTGACCCCGAAGAATTAACACCACAGTTTACCATTCTGCTAGCAAATGGTAGCAGGTAAGAGATATCACCAAGCCCATATGGAAGCAAAACAATATTACAAAGGGTCACTAAAAGGATGTGCAGTGGAATCATTTCCTCATTTTCTTTTACCTTCACCAACTTGCCATTAATTTCTGGAAGTTCTCCAAGTTTCCTATTGTCTAGCATTCGGATTTCATAAGACTGTCCTAGAAGAAAAAGTAACTACGTATTATACTCATCATCAATTAACTTTGCAAAATTCAGAAAGAATAAAATTCAGCTGGCAGGAGAGTTTCCGAGTGGTTCGCTGTGATGGCAGTGAGTTGAATTTTAGGAGAGTGGTGTTCTCTGATGACAGTAAGTATGGGGCCACCCCACTTTGTTGGATGGGCTGAGGGGTGTGAGGGCTGAGGGGTGTGAGTCCCGGGGGCTGGGGGGAAAGAACTGTCAGACGCCCGTTCAGACTCGCCAGCTGGTAGATCTGGGCTGCGAGGAGGGGTGGGTGTGCAGTGGACCCCAGGGCATACAGGAGGGAGCTGGTGCCTGTGTACTGTAAAGAGGAGTGAGAACCCCTTAGTCCCATGACACCCCAGGGTGTGACGCATTACCCCTCCCCTAATGGTTTACCTGCAGGCAGACTGAAGGGCCTGGAGTGGACCCACATGTCTAGAATCAGCTTGGTGTTGGGGCGGTTAGATAATGGTCCAGGCACAGATGTGTACACCACTGCCCTTGAAATACCATCAGGAGTATCCCTCTTTCGGACAGAATTTTGACTTGGAATTACTGAATAATTAAAGATTCCTCTTTCTCCACACTCTCCTACCCTCCCCCAAAACAGCATTTTAGCAACCTTTTTGGAGCTTTGCATGAAAAGTGATGTTAGATTTTGTGCAGGATAAAAGCGTACATAAGCCCTGGTCCCTTTTCTCAGGAGTTCAATGTAGCTGGAAGCCAAACTACTCCCCGAGTTCAAAACCTGCTTCCTCCATTGTGTGACCTTTGCAAGTTTCTTAATCTTTGCCTCAGTTGCCTCATTTGTTAAATGGGAATAATATTTAGTAACCCATCTCATAGGGTTGTTGAAAGGATTAAATGCCTTAATACATAGAAAGCTCATAAAACAATGCCTGGCACTTAATGGCTCAATGTGTCAGCTGTCATCATCATTACTGCTATATTGCCAGCATAATCTAGAAGTGACCCACTGTAGAAAAAAGTTTCAAATCACTTAAGGCTAGAGTAAAACTTAGTAAAAACCCTGTTCATCTTAGAAGAGTAGAAATAGAATCTTATGAAAGTTTGTATCCCCCACAATATCTTGCTTAGGGGTGTATGGCAGATAGTTAAATGCCACTTTCTTAGAGGCAGGAAAAAAATCAAATAAAATTCAGTTGGTTGACCATACAACAGTATAATGTTATCAGCATTAGTAACAACAATTATAATCCTTTACTCTATGCTAGGCACAGTGCTAAGTGTTTTCACACATTATATCATGTAATTGATTCAACTCTCTAAAGAATTACCAATCCCATTTTTACAGATAAGGAAACTGAAAGGTAAAGAGTTTAAGCAACTTGTCCAAGGCCACACAGCTGGTAAACAATAATGCTGGATAGGGTAATACTTCTCAGACAGGAACCAATGGGGATGGAACCAGGGAATGTGGATTAGGTAAAAAAGAGAGATGGGAACTAAAAATGGGCAGGTAGACAAAAGAAGTAAGTAACATATATCAAACATGACATTAAAACTCAAATCCCTGATGTGAGCCTTTGATTTTGACAGGTCACACTAGAAAGAAGTACTTTTTACATAAAGTGTGCCTAATTAAATACCATGAATCCAGCAGATCTGTGATAATAATACTAACTAATAAGGATGCATCTAACCTTGATTGAGATATGTCAGGGTTTCATCATGAAGTTTCACTGCTGGAGAGGTGGCAGCGCAAAGCACATACTGAAAAGGTAGGATTTTATTCTCATTATCAGGAGGCAAACTTGACTCTTCTTGCTTAAAAATGGGTAATGCGAGGACATCACTAAAAAAAAAAAGATATTTGTTAACATATGACAATGGTGTGAGAATGCATTTATTGTTGAAACAATTTAACTGCAATTTGCTTTGGAAAACCATAAATGTTCCTCACTTTGGTGGCGTTTCTTTCCAACCATTCAGTTTAGATCACTTGCTGTGATAGCCCCCTGACCACAACAATGTGGGCAATGACAGGTATTCACTGTTAAGACCACCTAAATGTCAGAAGAGCGCAGTTCTAGGAAACAGACAGGTGTTCCTAAAAGGGCTCTGAAAATTGTATGTAGCGTTCCAAAAATCTCAACTTAGAACATTGTAATGTATCTGTTCTTAGAAAGGCACCAACTGCAGTGTATTTACAGAGCAGTCCTCCTTTATCCAGTTTCAACACGGTTTCAGTCACCCACAATCTAAAAATATTAAATGGAAAATTCCGGCAATAAACAATTCCTAAGTTTTCAGTTGCACTCCATTCTGAGTAGTGTGTGATGACATCTCGAGCTGTCCCACTCTGTCCCATCCAGGACCTGAATCATCCCTTTGTCCAGCGTCCCCATGCTGTATATGCTCCCCCACCGCGCTACTAAGTTAGTCACTTAGTAGCCATCTCAGTTATCAGATATTTTGAGTGAGTGAGTGAGAGTGAGAGAGGTGGGGGTGGGGGTGGGGGGGGAGTCGACCAGGGGATAGGGCAGCGCTCCAGCACATTCGCATAACTTTTATTACAGTGTAATAAAAGATGTTAATCTTTGGGAGACTTTGTTGCTATACCATTCTTGAGTACATCACTACTGATGATTCCTTGAAAGATTAGTGAAGATTACCAGGAATCAAGGCAAACAGGATTTTGCAACATAGCAACAGCTCAACCTTTAGGAATGTAGGGTGTTCTTTTCCTTCTCAAATGTCAGTGCCTAGCAAGGTTAATATATAGCAACAGTTCCTAGTCTTCTCAATATAATGTGGCATTACACCTAACCAATCATGACTAAGCAAAATGACTGTCATTTCAGGCTGGAATTCAAAAATTGATTCTAAAGTTACCCCTAAAATTAACTCAAAATAGTACAGCCAAACCAAATACACAACACTATATTTTCTCATCCGAGGTTTTAAGATCTATAAACCTCAAATTTATCTGAATTACTCATGTTCTTGGGACACTACAGTTTCTTTACTTGGCTGCGGGAACAAGAATACCATTCAGTTCCACATTCCTAGAGGTGGAGACTAAAGGTCACTGGTAACTACAGTTCCAGGCCTCTGCTTTTACCAAAACAATAACAAATTCAGCAAGAAACAATTTTGGAAAGACAGAAGTCTGCTCCTTCTCAGAGGTAAGCTGAGCGCAGATTAGGAAAACCTACTCTGGTGGAGTCTAAGTAGTTGCTACCAATGTATAATTTGGCATTTTATCATATTCTCTGATTGCTTCATACATTGAATTCATTCCAATGAAACATAAGCTATTTGAAGGAATAACTTCTCTCTTATGTGCTTTGTAAATGTGTTGGTATGATTTACATTTTTGTTTATTTGTTTGCATTCTCCCAAATACTCAGCCCTAATAAATACCTTGTGATCATTTTGGAATTCACAACATCTCACAGTATCTCTGATCATTTAAATATAAGGATACAGAAATCTTACCTGTTAAAAGAATGAGTTGAGTGTATGTTAAAAATATGCATCGCTAAGTGGAAATCCACACCTCAGAGCGGAGGCACAGCAGAAAGCATTTGAGTGGAAGTAACAGAGGAACACAAGCAATATCTGGAGTGATCTTTCCTGTATGTAACTGAGATTCCCTGAAGAGCTGCTCCGTGGTCCCAGTCCTGAGGTATAAATTACCCTTTTGCGATAAGGCAGCCTCTGAATGGTCTCTACTAATTTACAACTCTGGTTTAACCTTCTCCCTCAGGCCTACCAGCTGTTGAATGCCCTCTTCTAGAAAGAGCCTAGGGCATAGAGAGGGAGAAGTTTTACGAGCTCTATCTTGAGTAAGAGGGGCAAGTAGACAGATGTCCATAGCATCTAAGAAAATTAGAAACTAGCTAACTCGGGACAATAAGATGTCATGAACTTCTAATTTCCCTACTTATAATCCTAATTTAGACTCCAGCATGATGAAAATAAAACGTTTGAAAAACATGCCAATATCACTATGTTAGTTACGGCATAAAAGGGCAAGCACTGAAGAGATTACACCCTACTCTCATGTCAGCTTCAAAACACAAAATATGCAGTAAATAAATGGTCAAAACTGATTTCCTTGGATTTGTGGGCAGATCAGGGAGGACCTCTGGCAAGAAGAGTGAGACCTGTGAGTTCTGAAATGAAGCCAGTCAGATGTCCCGATTACTGAGTAACAGTGAAATTTACTTTCTTGGTAGGAGCCCTCTGTCGCAAAGTGATAAAAAGATTTCTACACCTTGAACATCTAGTGAAAAATCTCATTCAACTGAAAAGCAGCATATATAATAAACATTTTGCCTTGCTAATTATTCTATCACCCAGGAGGCAGAAGAAATGAGTAGAATTATATTCTGAACCTAATTTGACCAGGAAGAAGAAACTGATCAGAAAAGAGGAAGTGGTGGGAGCCTCAAAAGAAAGCAACCAAGCCAGACAGGCAGGAAGAAGGACAAGGAACACGGCCGAGGTGTGATTCCTAGACTCTCACATAATCTCTTTTATGCAGAAAAGGCCATAACCAGAAATAAGAAAATACAAGAAAGAATAAAAATCTCACCAATAAAGGCAAATATACAATAATCACTGTGAATCAACCACTTAAAAAATGAATATAAAGGTTAACAGACAATAGTAGTAAAATTATAACTACAATAAATGATCAAGGGACACACAAAACAAAAACATACAAAATATGACATCAAAAACATAAAGAGTGGAGGGGGAGTTAAAAAAAAAAAAGACTAGTTTATGAGTATCTAGGCAGGGCATCAGGGGTCCCTGGGAGTCATAATCAAACTAACTGGTTTTCCTTTTTTATATGATTTGACCAGTGAATGATGTAAGCATAAATATTTCTAGACTTCAGTAATGCACAAAATAAAGTCTCTCTTGACATCCCTGTTCAAGGTGAAAAATATGAATTTTACAATAGTTAAGTGGCTTTACAGATAACTATACAACCGTATAGAGAGCAGATAAGTTTAGAAGGTTTAGTGATGTGCCATGGGACCCCAGAGAAACTCATCATCTGCAACATTTTTTTTATAAATGAACGACTTGGATGAGGACACTGAAGAGGATGAGGATCAAATATGCAAATGACAGGAATCTGGGATGGGAAAGCAAATATCTTTATGACAGAATCAATTTTTTTTTTTTTTTTTTTTTTGCTGAGCCATCCTGCCACCTGTTGGCAGCTCATCAGCAGCTCAGCTCAGGTGCAGCACCACTGGTCCATGTGGGAATCGAACCGGCGGCCCTCCTGCTCAGAGTTTGCACTCCCAAGCTAACTCCCAACCAACTGAGCCACTGGGCCGGCCCAGATAGAATCAACTTTTCAAGTAATTCCAATTGGCTGGAATAGCAAGCTAAATCTAACAGCAGAAGACTTAATAAGGATAAATGTAAAGTCATGCACTTAAGAACTAAAAACAACAAAATGGCTCACTATATGTGAGAAAGACTAGGGCTTTAAAAAAATCTGTTTCAAGGAGATAAACTGCGATATGTCTGTCAAAAGCGCTGATAATCAGGTTTCATTAAAAACAAAGTGAAGGAAATGACATTCTTCTCTATGCAAATCAGACCACACTTGAATTCTGTGCTTAGTTCTAAATGTGGAACTTTAAAAAGAGAACTTTAAAAATCTAAGGAAAGAGATGAGAATAAGTGAGGAGACCCAACATCGTGTCATTTGAAGAACAAGTGAAGGAAATGAGGATGTTTGTCTGAAGCAAAGAAGTCTTGTTAGGTCTACTGTATAGACTCAAGTACCAGTTCAGGGTTGAAAGAGTTGGCCTCTTCAAAGTGTCCTCTAAATCTATTCTATGATATTATTATTATAAAAGGGCCTAAAATATTATAAAAAGGTTTTAGAAGCTGCATTGGGATATATATTGTTAGAAAACACTATTTGGTATATAGTACCCTCTTAGTAGACAGGAAATATCACTAGTTCACTGCTATTATATTATAGTCCAAAGTATGTACTATAGCATCTGCTATAGAAGGCAGCAGCTAAATAATAGCTGTAAAAGCCTTCATACTGGAGTTAGACCGACTGGCTTATAAACCTCTCTCTTTATAATTATATATATATATATTTTTTAATTTCATTTCTACCTTTGTGTATTTGCCATGACAAATATAAGACAAATCATAATAAAGGCAGAGATAACATCTAGGCATGCTAAACCTTCTATATACCAAGTCCAAAAGACTCATCAATGTATTTTCTAATACAGACAATTCCTAAAAATGACATTCTTTTTTTCACTTTAAGTCAGAATTTTTTTTTACTATGTACTGAAAATAACATCTTAATAGTAGTATACTGTAGTCCTCCCATTACAGTGAATTTGGCACCTTGAAAAGATGTTAAACTTTTTTTTTCTGTATCTTTGCAATGCCATTTTTATTATCCTGGTGGAAAAAGTTTGCAGAAAATCATGGGAACAGACATAGGGAACCTGTGGCAATATTATAAATTTCTAAGGAAACAACTACAGTATTGATATCAAATTCAAAATAAAAATGATATTCTTGATGAAAGTCAAAACATAAAAATGTTTTTAATTTTTAGAGAAAGTACATCTTACCCACTTGGGCAAAGTGATGCTAATGAACTATGCTCTCAGACACTCTTCTAAACTATGAATGAACTAGCTAGTAGTAAGTAGAATACAAGTTTTCTTTTTAAAAAGAAAACTTCAATCATTCATTCAAACGTACATTGAGAACCTACGAGTGCCAGGCACTCTTATAAATACTAAAAACCACATATTAATTTTAAAAAAATAAAATAATTTT